GGATAAATGATTTTAAATTGGGACTTTACTAATCGGATATAGTTTAGTTGGCCAAAGGAAAGATCGACGGTAGAAAGTCAAAATCCAGCTTTTCGGTACGAACATTGGAAAATATAGAGAACTATTTTGTACCTTCTTTCCTCCGAAAGCTCTCCGCCTTTTCACTATGATACATCCGCGGTTCCCAAAGCGCGTCAGCGGTGCCAACCTGACATCAGCCGAGCCCAGCTCACGCATTGGACACGAGAACTGCGTCACTCGGTCATATGCGCTCGTCAACCATCAATAGACCGATTTCACCAGCCAGTTTGACTACGCCACCGCTGCCGCAATGCATCGAGGGAACTTTAGTCTTTCTGCGCGTGCCACAACCTGGCTGGAGCTCTGCGCGTGCAGGGTACGAAAAGTCTCGTGCACTGCCGGTTGCCTCCTGTGAACTAAAGTTATGGCTGCCTCGCGCATGCGTCGAATGCTCGGTGAGATCGGTCTATCCGTCAACGAATATTTGGATTCGTGTTCGTGGTCAATGAGTGCCCTGACGGAACTTATCGTCACTGGCGAATGACAAATTCTATAGTGTGCATAAAAAGCACGCTGGAAGCTATACTCCGTTTCTCCTTATGTTGTACCGCAGCGAAGGTTAGAAGCGCGAGCTCATAATGTTGGCAGCTGCCCTTAATGCACGGGAGCTTCTGCCGCCGAGACTGCGCCCTGAGCAAGAAGCTCGCGCTTGTAGCCTTTCCTGCGGTACATCATGAGGTGAAACAGAGTAAAAGGTGTATTCACCGGGCGCCGTATTTGTAAGTGCTGTCTAGAGCGCATGCTCAGAACGAGCCCACATTAATAAGCTGCTAAGACCGGCAATCTTGAGGGTGTGGAATGCACGTTACAAAACAACTGTAGAAGCTCGCCATCAGCACGCGCTCAGCAGTCGCGCACACAACTATGGCCGCCAGTGAATACTTCCTATAGGAGTCCTCGCACCGGTGCCGCAGAATGTCACGGCGACGTTATTTTACAATTCGCATTTGAGTTGAGGATTAAAGCTAAGGAGAAATAAGTAGAAAAATCGTTTCATGACCCCATTAAAATGAAACGGAGTACCAAATTTCAACACTTCCAGACAGCCTGCCCCCTCCTGGCTGTTCCTACAGAAGACTGGTGAAGCTATTTTCATACTGCACCGTCAACTTTTTCTCGAGCTTCGAAATGGCCAAGGATGCGATGCAAGAATGCATGTATGTATGTATTTCTCAGGAATCGTGGTCACCTTCCGCGTATCTCATCACGACTGAATATTCCATAATAACGCGTACGTTAATTTTTACCTTTGTAATTTGACGTAGTGACGGATCAAACAACGATACTCACTACTGTAGAGCCGATCACCTCTTATTCCATCTTGCGGCAGGAGTGCGAACCTTGTGAACGTGTCTGCTGCGGTCGAGATTTGACGGTGTCGTCGTCATTCGCCATGGACGCATACGTGACCGATGCTGTTTAACCGAGCGCTAGTCCTTTCCTTATTCCAGCGTTTCAGGTGCCCTTATACTTCGTTTCAGCTTCGGTCCGAGCGCGGCCGATGTTATGAGCCAAAGGGACAATCAAACAGCGCAAAAAGCGCAGCGTCATGGTGTGCTCTCTGCGCTTGAAAGGACTAGCCGGCAGAGGAGCGCGCACAGAGAGGCGGCGAATACCGGCTGGTCCTATCAACTGGGGAGAGCACCTTATGACGCTGTGCCTCTTTCGCTGTTTGATTGGCCCTTCAGCTCATAACATCGGCCGCGCTCGGCCCGAAGCTGAAACGAAGTATAGTCATCCATGTTAATCCCATTTTTTTTATTTGAAATACTGCAGACATCATCAAAGCCCCGGCAGGTTGCAGGCAACAATAGTTTGTATAAAAGCACGACGCAACAATATAACAACACAGGGCGCAATAAAAATATCTGACACAATATATGAATACATAACGACGGAGTACACAATACATTATTATGGCATGTATGTAAAAATTCAGTCTGTGTTAAGGGAAAAAAAAGAGAATGACATAATTCGCGATTAAAATACTGACAGTTTTCACCACATTAAAAAAGCTGCTATACACAAAAGGTAAATTGTTTTGGAATATCCCACCTGGAACAAAATGAATGACAGTATTGTTGATTAACTACACTGTCATTCTTCTGGCAAAAAATCCTATATTCAATGCTATGAACGAAGAACTAACATTTGGACGTGTCATTATTGTTGATATGCGGCATGATCATCTTGGCGTGGTTAGTTTTATAAGAGTGACCATACGGTTTTTTCAAATAATACTCAAAGTTCAATTTAAGGTGACCCTAAAAAAGTTGACGCACGAACTTCAAGCGTGGAATATTTAGTTTAGCACCAAGACATTGCAATTTCGATTATTCAAGCAAATAGATCGTGCTCTTCGCGCACCTATATTTTAAAAGGTAAATCCTAAGTCCTAATTTTGCCTTTTATCGATGCCATTTGATATATATAGTTGGTGAGGGTCCTAAACAAGGCTCGCGTACTCTAATGTAGGCCGAAAAAAGGACTTATAGGCGGTTAGCTTGCATTGTATAGCTGTGTTTTTGTTTACCTGTCTCCTCAAAAAGTCCAATTTTCGGCGAGTGGTAATGCATATGTAATTAACATGTGCGTCCCACTTCCAGTCACGTGATATTTGAATTACTAGGTGTTTAATTTGGTCTGTTTTTATTAAGGGGGTAGAACAAATCTCGGACGAAACTTCAAGTACTTCTTATTTGTGAGTTTTATCATTTCCACCGATTTTTGGTGGTAAACATTCATTCCCCTTTCCAGGCGCCATTTTGATATATCATTTATTGACGATTTCAAAACTTAGTCGTTGTTCTGCTCGGTTATATTGCGATACAAAACACAATCGTCCGCAGCGGGCCGGCGTGAAAACAGTATGCGTTCTGCTTTAGAATCCTGGGCATGCGTCGACCAGTTAGGGCTCCCAAAAGACGAAGTCAGAGTCACCTTCAGTCTACTTTAGATAAAACATATACATCTGTGTGTAATGCAGCTTCTTTCTTTTCGATCGTAGTGGTGATAAGCACCCCGAAACATCCGAATGCAGGTTTCTGGGAAGGCATAGCTCATGCGTGGCGCAAGCTCGCGAGGCCACCAGATGCAATATGGAAGTCAAGGAACTTGGCGACTTCGTTTACTTGACGAACGTGGTGCAGGACAAGTATGCATCTCGATGTAAAGGTCAAGGTAAACGTTAAAGAAAAACTGACTAAATTGAAGTGCATTAGCTTTAGCGTTCTCGTAATTAAAAGGGCGTTTAAGGGGGTTCCGCGGTGTGTATAATGAGATGATGCGTGTTTAAATATGCTCACACGTTAATTATAATGTTGTAACTTTAGTGTGCTCTGCAATATATTCAACTTTACGCTTAATAATGCGAAACAATTTATTCATTACCTTAAACAAATTAAATGAAGGAGAGGGTAACACAGTATAAATTAGTCTTGCAAAAAGCCCGTAGCCACATTACCTGCTCTTCGCGAGTCTAGTAATATTCAGAGTTAGGAGATTCTAGCAAAAGGGGGCATCGGACAGGTTAATGTGAAAGAACCTTTCCTCTTTCGATATCACGTTAGGTACGCATTTTTTACTAGACCAGTTAAAACGACAAGAGAAGTGTTTGAAGACCAATTCTGGTTGCCTCCTTTAAACAATTTTTAGATTAAAAAATTAAAAACTGTACACTTAGCAACAGGTATTCTAGGCCATATAGTATGCATTTGATTGTGTATAAAGTTGGCGAACAGCCTTAGACAGTAACGCACCGCATCATGCTTGTTTTTGTGTACTAATTCCTATTGAAAATTCCCTCTGTTTTCTGTTCTCTCTTCAGAGACAAGTAAACTTGACGAGAAAAAAGGTTGGTGGAACGCATTTTTGTTTTGTGCGCTTTTGTCTGCATACTGGGAGTAAGTGAAATACTTATGAGCCCAGCAAAATGATCCGCGTGTTTCCTCTCACCCCAAAGCCATGGCTGGGGTTCCCTCGCTGTGCAGGAAGAAGACCCTACTTCAGCACTACCTCATGCTAAGCCTTGACTTTCAGGGCAAGCTGTTGGACAAGGCTGACGAGTGCCTGTGAGCATTGGCACAACTGTTACAGTCCTCGATAACATGCGCTTCGTTTAAAAAAAAAAAAAAACTTTCCTGGGTGCTTGCGTGAACAACGTAAGGCTATGAGGGTGGACATACGCATCCAGGTAGTGTCACCGACTCAACGCTCAGAATAATGGGGACATGCGCTGATATGTATCGCAAACGATGTTCCATATCTACCTTTCAAGCACAACGATCAGTTCAATCACTTATATTTGGCGCTTAAGGCTTTGGCAAAAAAAAAAAACAGAAAAAAAAAAACACTGAGTGTTCATCCTAAGATAAAGGAAGGCTATAGACTCATCGTAGTTTTGAAGCCGTGTAAAAAAAAAAAAGTAACATACAGCTCACAAGCATTTTCGAATGTTAATGGGAACCACATGGCGGTCTCATATCGTCAAAGCACAATAGTATAATTACAAAAATAAAACGCTTTTCAGGGAGAACCAATTTTATTTTTCCTTCCAACTTTCATGTGGAGGGAATAAAGGCCCGTTCACACACTTGCGTTTGACTACAATCGACTTCGGCACGACCGGTTTTTAAGCCTCTTTTGCGGCGCTGGTCGTAAGGCGTCACGAAAGGCTTAAAAACAGTTTTTAGCTTCTTCGGTCCTAAGAAGTCGCATGTGTGTGAACGGGCCCTTATTAATTTACATTATTCTGGCGCACATGCTACTTTGTAGTCGCCAAGCATTCTTGATAAACACGTATTGAATGCCTCCATCTCCCGTGAGCAGACATTACGTAGTGTCATAATATTTGTACCATTGTTTAAGAGAATCTTTTAACAAGTGCATTCCCTTTCTACTTCCATTTTTATAGTGCCCTGAATTCGTTTTCCAACGGCTTCATGGAAGCTCGGGCGGAGACGGAGTGCACCTACACGGATAGCAGCTTCATCTCCCTGATGCAGATGCATACTGAGCTTATGACAGACTCCGTCCGTTCACGCTGCTCACAAAAATCAAGTACGGCCAATAAGAATACTAATCCTAGTGAGATCAAGCTTGAAAAGTCATAAAATTAAAATCAGTCCCAATGGCTCTAACGAAACTTTGGACATCCCAGTTGAACCTAACACATGTACCTACATTTGGTTATTTGTTTCAGTCGATCTGAACGTTCTGCTCAAGTGCTCACAAGCCGAAGCCCTAAAAAAAATGTTGCTCTGCGGTCTCTCTTATAACAAGCTTCTGGAGGACCAAAAGAAACAAGGCGAATTTTACGTCACACCGACCACATGCAGGTAAATACAATAAAGTGTAAAAAGCTCCGCTGAAATTGGCTACCGAAACCTTACAAAGCTGCACCCATTGTGCCTTTTTTTTTTCTTCAATACTTCAGTTACCTTGCGGAATTCCAGCACTGCATGATCGAAGTGGAGAGATCAACCGGCTGCACAAAATCGGAGCTTCATTTGCACACGTCTACGGTACTCAACTTCTGGACGTGGAATGTGGCTCCATTATGCGAAAGCGCCGCGTGTGAGTAAAAAAACCAACATAGTTTGATGTCAGACGCGAGAGTATAGATTGCACAGTTATGAAAGTAGTGATCTTGCTTCGCTTTGGGTAGGGTGGGGTATACGGCAAAAAGCACGAATGAATGAACTTCAAAAAAGAAAAAGATTGTTGCGCATTCCTGTGCCCTCCTCATTCAGTGTGTAAAGCTTGAACTACGATTAACGTCAGGAAGAAAGGGGGGGGGGGGGGGGGGGAGTACCTCTGCATGGTAGCACAACTCTTTTTTTCGGATGCCAATCGCACTTACAGCTTTCTCCATCGATGCCGTCTTTACGCGTAGAAGAGGTCCATTGCGTGTTTCCGATCTCGACGGTTTGTTCAGCTAAAAGGAGAAAGGCAAGGACAACCGTAGGCGGCAACGATAAGAAAGGAAACAAGGTCTGTGATGGTGTCAGATGGGCGGTAGGTATAAAGCGCTTGATATTCTATTCTATTTTCAATCAGATAGAGACGGCACAGGTACGAGAGCGCGAACCCTGCACTAGACAGTGGACGCCATATTTGAGGTCTCTAGCGCATGCTCAGAGCGAGCTCACATTAATAGGCTGCCAAGACCAGCAATCTTGATGGTGCGGATTGAACGTTGAAAAAGAACTGTGGAAGCTCGCCGTCAGCACGCGCTCAGCACTCGCGCACACAACTCTGGCCGCCATTGGACACACTAGATACCTATTTGACACGGTCAAGTAGCGCAGTTTTTAAAGTCACACGCTCGCGCAGTTTCCTCCACAACACTAAAGTGGCGCCATTCATTGTTGTGGAAAAGCTCGAGACACGTGCCGCGCGCCACTTCTGGGAAGAACATGGCGTCTGAAATCGAGCCCATTGCTGCGCTGTGCCGCCATGATCTTTCCAAGGACTGCACGTTGCACGTGCGTCGTGCAACGACGCACCTTGCGCTTCTTTTGAAACATAAAGGGGCTTTACGCAACACGGCAGCGTGACTCCACCTAGTGACTAATTTGTAGGGGAGCACGTGCAAATCAAATGCTAAAGGAAGACAGCTGGGAAGCAATGGATAATCCGATGAAAGAGGTGAATGCTAGATGAGGTATTATTCCAAAACTTGGCGAACCTTCTACCGGTGACCTTAAGATGCAACGTGCACGCTGAACACAGACCGAGACAAACACTGCAAGATGAGAGGCTGGTTGGTTCCTGACAACTTTGCATAGCACCTGTAGCATGCTGGACGTTTTGCGCAGAACTTCAGTCATTATTGGAAGATTTCAGGTATACCAATTTTCGTTTCTTACTGACTTTAATAAACTCTTGTTTTTGATGTTTTACATTTGCTGTAGCCCTGCTGTTAAACGACGTTGATCCCAAATGTGACTTTCCGAAGAGCATTCACAAAGCGCTGATGTGTGGAAAGGAATTTCAAGAGTACGCTGAACAGGCAACGTGGGAGAGTATGACCTTCTCACAGTCATGTTCGTGAGTAAGCTATTGTAGACCAATTCGGTGCTCTCGTGAGATTGCCTGAGCAGCGAGTAATTTTAAATGTCATTTAGACAGACTGATTCACCTCACAAAATTTGCTTTAAGGACGAATATTTTAAAGAAACTTGAACACTCACAGAAGCTCTTTGCAATATGTTCACCTCGCATTGTAAGATCAGGCAGTGCATATCTACTAGACATCTACGTAACGCGTTACTAGTAAGGAGTTACTTCTACCTAGTTACGTTTTCCGGTAACGAGTAACGGTATTTCGTTAGTTTTGAGGAGTGTCGTGTACAACAACGTTTAAACAGCCTTGTTTTAATTCTAACCTGAGTATGTGTGTATTGTGTCAAAGGCAGATGGGCAACCCGAGAAACAACTAAACAGTATGACAGTATAGCATTGTTTATCGCTGACCACGTCAGTCGAACGCTGCAGCTGGGAATGTCCTTTAGCCAGAGAACACAGCAAGGTTCGCTGTTTGAACCTCTAGAATCGTGTAGAGACCCAACGTAAACCCTGAGCTTGCCTACGCGGGAAGGCACAGAACCTATTGTCAACTTAGAACTTTAGAAGCAGAGAAAACAAACGAGGGAGTGTGTGTGTGTGTGTGGGGGGGGGGGGGGGGAATCCCAGGTTCATCAGCTCTTCCTGGAGCAAAATACGGCCGTTCCTTCGAGCGCGTCAGTAAAACTCAGCGTCGCCGGAGATGTATTTTCAATGAAGCAGGGAAACAGAACTCATAAAAAATCGGAAGGGCAGCCACTCCTTAAAGGCACAGGGTACGAAAGAAAAAAAAATCGATATTACTTTTTTTTGCAATTTGAAAAGCTTATTTCCTTATACATCATTTTCTATTGTCACACTGTTTTTAAAAAGTCATATTTCGGGCTGAAGAACACTGTTTCCGAAAGCAAGCAGCGGGTGAACACGACCCCTTTTTTAATATGCACCCTGTTCATTAAAGAAAACAAAAAAAAAAAAAAAAAATCAAAGCCCGATCTAAATATCTTCGGAATGAGCTACATCTTAAAAATGATCTGGCAACTATTGCGTACCTTTTTTTTAAACCAAGACAATGTCGAGACGCTGTGCACGTTATTTCCACGTGTGTGCTTTCAAACGCCTGTGTTTTTGAACGACAAAAGGGCGACATTGGATGCTGTTCTTTCGTTCAATGGTTGTAGCATCGCACGTGCCAATATTTTGAAGTCTTGTGCATTGAACCCTGCGTGGAACATCATCAAGTGGCTGAAGGAAGTTGACCGCGCTCAAATATACTTTGCGGACCGAGCGACACGACAGTTCAAAAAAGAGGCCCGGCAAGCAAGGCGATAAGCCGAAAAGAGAATACATGACATCAACGAGGACTACCAAGCTGGCGGCTATATAAGAAATGACTTTGAGGGGGATGGCGCCAATAGAATTTTTTTATTAACCTGATGTTTTTTTACCTTAAACTCACTTATCTCAAAACAGTGTCTTTCAGAACGCAGGTAGCCTTATTTTCCTACTCGCCATTATAGATGGTTGAATTTTTATTCCTGCTACCTACATAGATGTTGAAAAGTTCTAATATAGAATTAGAAATATTCACCTAACAGTCTTTGTGGTGTACATTTTGTAATACCCTAAGAGAGCTAAAATTTCAATACTAGTAAATAAAAATTATATAAAAAAAATTAATTTTCACTTGGTGTAAATAATTCTAGTTCAGTGGAAAAAACAAAATTTCAAGCAAAGTGATATGTACATGACATGAATACTCCTAATAGTTATTAAGTAAAATGTTCCACAACATGGCCTAAAATAAATGGGGAGTATAGGATGAACCCTGTGCCCTTATTCGCGCCTCCAGCACGTTGCTCACCCGTTCGCGGCGGAAACAGGAAGCGCTCTAGTGAGGGTCCCCCGGTTCTCCTGGTCATCGGGCACGGCGGAACTGCTCCCGATCATGGCTCGCAAAATATCATTTCCGACTGAAAACAACACTCTTTACTGTTCGAACGTAGCGCTGCAGTCATTATGGGATTGTACCTTACTAGGGAGGTTTAGTATTGCGTATAGAAGCAAAGGGCAAACGCTGTGCGTTTGTGTTGGAGTTGTGTGCTCTGCGCCGCGGCAGCGCAGCGCGTGAGCGTCGTCGCCATACGTCAATCCAAGACCGCAGTATTGGGCTCTGCGCACACGCATTGTGGAACACGGAACGATAAAGTCAACACAGTGCTTACGTTCGCTCGTATACGCAATACTAAAACTCCCTTCTGTTTCATCGGTGTCCAACGCCAACGAAACGCGTGCTGCAGTGAACAGACGTGCAAGTGGGCTGAAATTGGCGAAATGACGGCGCGTAACAATTAAAGAAGCTAAATGTTCTGAAAAAGTTGGCAGTGAAAAAAAAAAATTACTTTCTTTGTTGTTTTTGGGGGTTTGGGGGGGGGGGGGGGGGGGGGGGCATTTGGGTCGGAATGTTTTGAAGGCAATTTCGGAAGTTCTGCCGATTGTAAAAACTTTCAAATTTGAAAGCACCATAGGCTTTACCCACAATTACTGCAGTTTTACATGGATTTCTCAAATTGGCTAGAATGTTTCATTGATTGTAGACTATTAGCGGAAAACAAACAGCGCAAGGACAAGGACAGAGTAGAAGGCGGTAGACACACACAGCGCTGAACTAGCCCAACCGTCAACACTACTGATTGTAGACTATTTTTATTTTATAACTTGTTAATTAAAAATGCTGCAATAGGCACCAGTGATGATAATTTACACACTTTTGATTGGCATACTTGTTCGCGCGTCCAAAAGCAACAAATTATAGTAGAGCTTGAAAAACTCTGTAATAAAAGATATTGATTGTATTATTATTATCATTCATACAAATTGCGGGAATGTAGGCCCTCAATAAACGCCACGGTCACAAAAATACGCCTAACCAGTGATTTCCCTACACACCCCCTAGAAAATATGTACACTCCCCCCCCCCCTTGTTTTTTTGAAGGCACCCCCTTAATTCGCAACGACTCCTCTATTCCCAATGCCCCCCCCCCCCCCTAGCCCTCCCCCTTCCCCCCAACCTAAAAATTTAGACACCCCCCTACTTTCAATTCGTGGGGAAACCCCTGCGCCCAACCATAACACTCTTTCCAAAAAGGTTTTATTTTGTTCTCTTTTTAGCATACGAAACACTGACATCGTTATCAAGACAGAAAAACAGTGAAACGCGGCATGTAATATATAGTCCGATATGCGTTGCTTTAAAAAGCATACACACTTCTGTTGTCTGATTCGGATTCCGTCTTTGGGATTTTGTAGTGAAAACAGCGTTTCTTAATTTATACATTTTGTAAAGATATTCTGAACTCATCACCCGTGAGGATATTTTGTAACATTTGGATTGATTCTGTTGTTTTTGTGCTAGAAATAATGCTAAAGCAATTAGTCATTTAAACATACAAAAAACTCATTAAAAGGTCCTGAGTTCATTATTTCACATGACAATCATCTGAGCGAGAAAAGCCGCAAGAACACACAAATATCAGCACTTTAATTTTTCTACAAATATATAATGTTCTACGTCATTACTAAGGTGTATGAAAAATCCTGTCTTTAAAGGGGCACTGAACTCTTCAAAATATTTTGAAGTGCCTGGATCGGACACGTATGTCACAAAAGAAAGTTTTCCTGAACAGCTTCTTTAGCTCAATAACAACGTTGTGAGACGTAGATATGAAATAATCAAAATTCACACCTATACCGAGAAATTAAATAAACAATAGAGGTTATTTTCGGTTTCATTCCAGAATTAAAACGTGCCTCCTGGCGTAAATATTACGCTAAACACCGTTTTTGTTTTCAGGATAAAGAAGTGTCCTGCGCTCATAACACCCTAATTTGATCGTATAAGCGGCAATAATTTGTGTCGGTCAGTGAAGCCAGCACACTAGACAGTCTCAGCAACTGGCGTACCGGCGCGCACCTCCGACTCTCACTATAACCGCCATTTTGCAAAGCGAGTGGCGCCACCTATAATGAATTACAGTCGCGAATAGCCGATTCACACGACGGACCGAATCGCGCTTTTCATCCACGAAGCGTGTACCACGTGATCGTCACGTCACCGACTCCTGCGATCCGCGCCTCGTCCGCGGACGCGAGGGGACAGATAAAGTCGAGCGCCTTTTTACTTGCGGATTTTTGGCGGGAGATTGACTTGAAAAGGAGGTAGACTGAAAAAAGTACAATGTCTTTTTTTTTTTTTTGGGGGGGGGGGGGGGGGAGGGGGGGGACGATTAAAACAAAAATGGCGCATCGTTGTGTTTTGTGCGTTCGCTGGTTAATCTGTCGCGCGATTCTTGGTTCCACGCGTCAAAGAAACTGCAGAAGCTTTGTCCGGCTGACGCGGAGCAGGTTCCAGTACTCCTCCGGGTCACTGTCAAGAAGCTTCCGTCAAAACTCGTCTTGCACGACGCTATAATTCTCGCACGTCCAGTCAGCCTTTCACCGAGCAAGACCTTTTTTGTGGCTGTGGTATACTTAAATATTGTGCACGAGCGCGGAGTGCGTGAAGGCATCTCCAAACGCCCCTCAGCGAGCCCAGAACTTCGTCGCTTCTACGCCGAAGCCTTCTCGAGCAGGACCATGCCTCTGTCACTGTCATGCCTTGGGTTACTAAAGCTAGCGGCGCTACGCGCGAAGCCTATCAACGGTGCTCTGTCGCGATCGGTACGCAACAGCGGCGTACGATTCTTTATCGCGGTAGCAAACGTCGATTTCTCTCTTGGACAACGGTGCCACGGTACGATGTTGGAGTTTCGTGGCACTGTGGGGTGGCAAACAAGTTCGGTCCGTCTTCGCTGGCGTCTGCTCGTCGTCTCATTCATGTGGATGCACTTGGGCGACGGACGAACCGCGGACATGTCGTCACGTGATTAACAAGTCCGCGAATCAGTCCGTCGTGGGAATCGGCCATTAAGTGCAGCGACTACTGACAAGAAAACAATAAATCATGAAACAAAAGCAGTTATGTATTTGGTCGTCAAAGTATCGGAAAAAGTAACTCGTTACTTCGGGGGTAACATAACGCGTTTCTTTTTGAGAATCGGGAACGAGTTACTTTATGAGCGAGTAGCGAGTAACGGTATTTATTTACCTTTTTGGGTAACGTGTGTGGCTGATAGGTACTGACTGCGTATTAAAGAATCATCTAATGTCTCCCTGTTACCTTGGAAAATTTATCAATCCTTCAAACGTACCTTTTTTTACCCCTTCAAACTTAAAGTAGCTGTGCAACGATATTCAATTGGAATGTTTCTCATTAGACACGAGCTTACTGGCACACATGGGACTCAAGGATACTCACACGCAACGCCATTGGCCAAGAAACTCCTTTGTTGCGGTGTAATTTCAAGGACAAAAGTGATCACTTTCATTCAATCTCTCCTTTGCAAAATTTGATGACGTAACGTGGGGATCGCAGTACACCCAAGTGACGATATTTGAATGCGGTTCATAGATTGGACCCGAGCATTGCGTGGGCACTCGACTTGGGCTCGTGATAATTGCTAGCTCGAGAAGCATTCGGGTAGTGACCCGTGTCCAATCGCTGCAACGACGACAACAGCCGAGCCATAACAATGTCTGGAACTCAGCGCGTGTCCTGCGCTTTGCCAACCCCAGCGCGTGGCTATGATCAACACTGGCGGCATATAATCTGCTCCAGATCACGTGGCCGCTTGTTCTGGCTGCGAGTTGAGGGGGTGAACGGTGCTCGTTTTTCTTTATTTTTTTTTTGGGACTACTATTGCGTGGGGTGAAAAACGAACGCGTGTTTCATAGGTCATTAACGTTAGGGATCCGTTTCAAGCGGTATTTGCGCAAAGTACAAAAAACGTTGCATAGCTCCTTTAAACATTTCGAACGATGTCTATAGCGGCTGCCGTTTTCCATTTCCGCCCTTCTTACGCATGAAGCAAAGGCACACTCACACGCCCGTTATGAACCAATGCAGGTCCCTGGAAACGTTCGACAAGTGTTTACAACGAGCACTGGAAGTCCGCCAGTGCAAGCATAGCCTCGGAGCTCAAACGCAAATCTCTCTAATCAAATCGATGCTGCGGTCAGAATATAAAATAAGCTGCACAAACATGTATCAGTCCGCCCCCGGACCGCCTGGCGAGCGTTCGGACGAGTACCTCTTGAGCGACTACAACTACTACTTTGGAGAAGAAATAGCCCGAACTGAGGTCACTGATAAACACATTGAAGGTTTCGCCGAAGATGACGCCAGGAGACGCGGAATTCCATTTGCAAAGCGGGCACGCTCTCACCTCATGGACAAACTGGCGTGAGTCTATAAAATTTTCGTGCACGGTTTTTAGTCATGCACTCTCTGTTCTTCTACCATATAGAACAAGAGTTTGACGTGAATAAGATAAGCTCTAAATCCTGACTGAACTAGCGTACGCATGAACGGGACTTCAAAGGAGTCGGGCAGAAGCTGGCATATGCGGAGAGAATCTGAAGGGGAGGAGGAGACGAGAGGTCAGAGTGCCGAGTTCTGATGTCACCGCACGCTCTTGCTTGCTCTGATTGGAGGGAGCGAGGGCGTAGAGATAAAGGCAGCTAGCCTTTGCACCTACCCACTAATCCATCCAATCAACGCTTGGGGCTAAGACGTCGCCGCACGCGCTCTACTCCTCCTCCTCCTCCTTCCCCGTGTCCCGTCTTCTATGTCTTTATCTGTTTCGAATGTGTAATCTAAACAGTTCTTGAGTGACGCATATGCTTAAGATGTTGACACTCGTTTCAGAGGACCTTAATGTTTTAGTGAGGTTATAGTATAGCTTATTGTGACCTAAGGTATTGTGCTCGAATCAGTTTCGTGTTCGCTGCGTTCTTTTATCACAGTGCGTGCTATGCACACGCGCAGTACAATTTTTAATTCAAAATTACGAGGACACATGCGAGTTCCCTACTTGGGAACAAATACATAGAATGTGCAGCTATTCAATCGAGCAGGTGAGCGGTTCCCAAAATTGCGGTTTGATCCTAAGACGGCGAAACAAAGAAGGGAACACGAGAAAGGAAAGGCAGAGTGATGTTAGGAGACCGCGTCAGCAAGTTGTGGAAATACGTTCTCCGGTTAGTGGTTGCGAGTTCAATGTAAAAAGTGCGCGCATTCTGTACATTTAGACATAGATTGGGTAAGCTAACCAGTTTATTCCTCTTAAAAAGTTTAATTTAATTTGCGAGTTCCACCTGTAAGAGGAAGTTATCTCGCGAAATGAACACCAGCCTGCGAACTTCAGTATCCCCAAACTTGAGAGGGAGAAACTAACACAATAAAAGCAGTATGTCCAATGATTCCAAGCAAGGTTCGTCTTTTGACTTTGAAATGTGTAGAACCTTCAGTTTCACATGAAAGCGTGCCGCCTATTGTGTCAGCCGGAGCACAGACTACGTTACTGTAACGAGGAGATATTGTAATCGGTCATAACATTGTGATACAACATCACGACCGACTGCCCCTGAAACAATTTTGGTCCCTTGTTTTCACACCTTGGGTCGCTATGGTCGCATATAATTGAAAGTTTACGGAACTTCACTCAGACATTTGAGCAGAGAGGGGTTCAGAGCGCCATCCGTGAAGCCAAATACGAAATTAGTTCAGGATGTTTCTGAAGTTAAGTAATTAGTCACTCAGTAAGTAAGCGCATGCTCCCGCATTCTTGTGAAGACAGTGGTGCTTCTGAACGACTTCTCAAACGAACGTCATTTTTTTTCAGCCGGCCCCTTCGGGACAAAATTAAAACGCTGGGATTCAAGAACGTTATGAATATTGCGAAAAAGAGACTGATAGGCTTGACTGAGGTTTTGACTTCAACGCCAGTTCAATCAAACAGCAGCAATTCAAGTAACGAGATCAGTTCTACGCCATCGTCCGTCATCGTGGTTCCTGTTGTGGAGAACGACGACTCACGTAAGGCTTGTCTTAACTGATAGCTTATCCATCTAAAACACGCGCGATAATGTTTTGAGCCAGGGTAAGACGATCAGGTCTGCCTGCCTCTTTTGCAGTGTGTGACATGACCGCGTACGAAAAAGAAAGTCAGCGATGCAATCGCTACATTTCGGAACAAGCGAAAAGTTATCGGAAGAACTTGAAATACGTTCCATCGGCCAACTCCAAGGGTCTCACAGAGAGCGTCTGCAAGTAAGGTTATACCGTCATACTCTTGTGCGGACGCAGGGTACTATTTCGAGCCTGCTCAAATTAATTGTGTACGAAATGCGACGAAACCTGCATTTTGACGCATCCCTCGTCGTCCTTCTGCACTCTTGAGGTGTTTCTAAACAATAGCGATGGCTATAATCATATTATGTGAAGCTGTACGAAGACTCGTTTTGATGCGAAAACATTAACTGTCCCATGGAGCTCAACCCGCGTTGTCTGCAGCCGTTGTCTGTAGAAACGAAAACGGCACCTGAATTCCTATTGGCCAAACGCACAGCAACGCAACTGCTTCGTCACGGAAGCCTGTGGGGCGCTCAAGGTCAAAGCGGACGCACCTGAGAAATACACACAAAGAAAAGCACAGCACCGCAGATGCATCGTCACGGAAGCCGTGGAGCCGGCGGTGTTCGCCACGCCTGCGCAGTGCGGGAGCGTGATGCCACCGCCGGGGCGCCGTGTGAAAAAGGAAGACGTGGCGCGCTGCTTGTAGGAATGCGCTGCGTGTAGGAGTGCTTTCGTATTCCTACACGTAAACAGTCTTAGGTGTCTTCGTTTAATTTTTTAGATGGCCGCTAAAAACAATGGCAGCCACAGTGATAACAAAGGGCTATCGTTATTGTGCCTCGTACAATTCTTGCAAACGTGCCCCTTGCCCTAAATAATATAAAGTCCTGCTGTTTTGTACACTTTGAACGAGTAGTAGACGTCAATAACGTAATATGTCTCATGTCGGTTTCCAAAAGTGGAAGAATTAGCTGTGTCGAGTTCAGCTATTTATTAGTTTAGTGTCGATGCTAGTGAGTATTGGGATGACGCACATCGTCTGCCCCTGACCCCCACCATTTGTTCTTTTTGCCCACATTGATTGGAAGCGCCCCCATCCACGTACGTACGAATCTTCTTTTTTTTTTTTAATATTTGGAGCCTGATATGTGCACGTTCTAGTTTAAAACCAAATAAAACCTAAAGTCTTCGTTTCCCGAGCAAGCGCAATACCGCACCATACGACCGGGCTCGATTTTGTAGACGAGACGATTTAGGTTTGCACAGCAGGCTACTTTGAAACCACTCCATAGATTCTAATAAGTGTATTTTTAATAACTGTACTTTGTTAAGAAAAACCTCGACTCGAATAACAATACTGTCAAATCTCCATGGCTTTTTCCAGTTTCTCAAATTTTGACTTGCGAGGCACAGAAAAGACTGCACGACGATCACACGACCTGATGCGTTTAGGCAGCGGCAGCTCTACTACTTATTCGACGATGACGATCGATTTTCATTGCGCCGATCGTGCGTCATATGGTGATTTGATATCGAAATGACGTTGAGTTCATTTAGCGTCGATAAGGTTGTTGATGAGAAAACGATTTTAACGTCGTAATGTGTCTTCTCGCCAAATTTAGCTGGGAAACGGAATTGGTGCATAGGTCAAGTGACGTAAATTTTTCCGATAAATTTAGTGGGGAAACAGAATTGGTGCACAGGCCACATGAAGTATACTTTTCCGCTAAATTTAGCGGGGAACCGGAATTTGTTTGTGGGTCCCGTGACGTCAGGTCATGTGACACCAACTTTCCCGTCAAATTTAACGGGGAAATAAAATTGGTGCTTAGGTCACGTGAAGTAAATTTTTCCGCTAAATTTAGCGGGGAACCTGAATTTGTCTGTAGGTCTCCTGACGTCAGGTCCCGTGACCTGACGTCAAAGTGTAAACAGCCGTTTCATAACTCAGACTTTTCGCTACCACTCGTCGAGGTGTTATTAACGAGCAAACGATTTTATCTAAACACATGTAATTAAAGTAACACAAGACGCTTAGACTGAAGGTTGGCTCTTTATTCAACTGGTATTCTTATGTCGGCTGGTTCCAGGGTCTGCTTGTGTGTTTGCACCTCGCGCCTATTCGAGCTCCATGTGACGTTTACCTTTGTGTAAAAAAATGTAGGAGCTCTGTAAACTATCGCTCATGGGACAAGTATCGAATGTGGCTTGAGAACAACCAAAACAACGTACGACATGTCATCCTAATATACTTTCCAGAATGGCCGAGCACTACCGGGTGTGTCTGAGCGACGTGGCAGAGCGGCACCGATGTCTGATCATGCTTGCCAGAACTCCCCGAAAAGTGGAGAAAAGTCTCGCGAAAGTTGGACTGGCTTTCTGCAGTTCGACCGCCACCGATTCGGGCTCCTCTTTGCGTCGGAGTACTTCTCGTCTGACACTGGTTCTTATCGTGGGCATATGTTGGAAGTTTAAGGCCTTAAATTAAAAGGCACAGCCACAGAAACCATTGGAACTAGTTCCGACTCCCTCGTGTCTCTCGCTCCGTGCACACATACGCGCACTAATCACGTGACTTGTTTTTGTTGATTTTAGGGGCGTTCCTTTTAACTTGACGCACATATTCGTATGACTTGCCAGTCGCTTAGTGTTATTGCAAACTGGCTTTCTGGCCTATTATGGGTACAGTACCTTAGAAATGCTATATCTGTTGTTCCTAACTCTCTCTCCAAGATGTATTTATTGTGGGGTAAAAAGGTGGAGGAATCATTTTCCTATAGCACCGAAGCAGTACTCCTCGTTATATGAAGGGGAAAAATCTGCAATGACAGCGTCCTTGTTTGTTGGAATTAAACAACTAAATAAAAAAAAATAAAAAAACTGGTCACACGAGATCTGAATGCATTCGTCGAACGTGTCCTTTTAGAATTAATAAATGACAACTCGTAAAAAGAATATAAATTCTAGAATATGTCCGTGCCCTCTCACTTCACCTTGCTTTAAGGTTTTTTTGTTTCTTTTTGTGTGAGTGTCTTTTGTTTGCAATCATTGTTTTTTTTTCTTTCGAATCTCGGCAATACAATCATGTCGTGTGTTTCAAACTTAAATACAGTCAAATGACTGTAGAAGATGCTCTTTAACCGTGCGGAAAGAAGACTTTACTTCATCAATTGATGAAAGATATGGTTTTAATCCTGGAAGATTGCCTTTGCTACCGGCTCATAAACCTTTTGCGAAATGAAGGGGTGATGAGGCATGAGGATGAAGACAAGTTCACTAAAATTTGTCTTGAAGGCTTGCTTCTCGCACACAGTCGGGAAGCGTGCCCAGGACAGCATTGCGGTATTATGATGTTTAAATAAGCCACACATTCTTGTGAGCGATAATCATCATGCTATGTTGGAAGGTTACTCTCAACTTGCCCCCGTGTGTGTGCTGCCCTGCAACAAATAAAAGGAAGCGCGCCAAGAGAAGGTGCCGAACAAAGTATAACCATCTACAAGTTGCAAGCGCTAACAGCGATGTAGGCAGTAAGCGATAAAAAAAAAAAGCTTTCCCCCCGGGCGACCCTGCTACAAAGGAGTTTGCTTGTACCAAATCCAATCAAGTTTGCTTTGCTACGTTAACGAAGTGAAGGGAGCAGAGCAGGTAACCAACGACCATAACTCGAGCCACTATGGGACGGTTTAGCCTTGGGATGACTGTCGACGAGTGGTCGACGATCATAATTAAGTTTGAAGACTTTTTTTTTTCAGTTAATGTTATGCACCAGTGCGACTCTCAATCCGTAGGAAATCTTCCAACACGGCAGAAACATGATAGCTGTTGAGAACGTTGCACAGTATTGAACTGCAGTTTTACCCTTGCCGAAGATTTGTTGTGGTTACAAATAAAAGGCAGAAAACGCATTTTTTTTTTTTTTTTTTTTGTGGCAAGTGGGAGCGTTTATCAAGAACTGCATACGGTGCTGACAGCGCACGCGAGCCCCTGCTTGTGGATGTTGGTCATAGACGAATATGAGAGACATCAACTATGACATAAATCCTGTTATACTTTGACATTACAGGAACATAGAATCGCCCTCGGAAGTCACACGCAAAGCTAGGCACCCATGCTACTATCCGATGAATTATAGAGTAAAAATCGAAGAAATCATTAGCATGCATAATTACAATCGTGACTGCAGCAGAATCTACTTGCAGAGTCCAGTTCTTAAAAAAAAGTGCGCAAGGGCCACCGACCGCCTGATTTCGGAACGAAAAGCCAGCGTCCCGAGCTTGCTCAGAGCTTGGCTTTGCGGACCGGGCGAGCTGCGACGACAGCGCCACACGCTGGCGCCAACGGAGGGCCCGGCTTTCCTAAGCGCGGCTAATGCGCAGCTTGTCAACTGGGCTGATCTAGTAACGTTGTACGAAGCTGCGGCGCAAGGAAAAGGAACACGATACGCTGGCTCTGCAAGCCGAGCCTATTCACCGATGTTTGTTTGCAAATAAGCTCCCTGCCGCCCGCAATCGGCGGACCCCTGCGCGCTTCCGGTTTTCCTTTATTTTTTTTCCTTTTGTCTCACACCTTTTTGTTATTTTTACTGCATTCTATAAAGTGCGCAGGTTCTTACAGAGGCATCACAGGTACTTCTCTGAAAGAAACTCTCCTTACCCGGTCGCTGTGTGTTGCTAAAGAACAAATAAAGACACTACCGGAAGTCTACTGGGGCAACGTTACTGGAGCAAGCTCAGTTTCGCGGCTCCCTATTCTCGCCTGCAGAGGCGAGTGGCCCAGGTGGCGGTCACGAGAACTAGCGGCGCTGCAGTCGGATCTTGCTTCCCTGTCTCGCGCATTGTCTGCTACCATTGCGTTGAGAGCTTCCTTTTCGTTTTCTTTTCTTCCTTTTTTTTTTACTTTCATTTGTATAATAGCAAAAAAAAAAAAAAAGATGATGAAGTTGAAGTGTAATGCACCACAGAGATCAGAGACAGCGCATTGTGAGCAGACTTGGAAGTAATCCGTTACAAGTAACGGGATTACTTGTAATTAGTTACTTTTTGAGTAATTTTGTAATTAATCCGTTACTTTTCTACAAATGTAATTTCTAACGTAATTTCATGACTGTTTTAGTAGCGGATTACCACAAGTTACTCGTTACATTCTTTTGTTACTTCGATTTTTTTTTTTCAATATTTCAAGCATAATTGTAGAAATATGATTTTTGAGTAGCGTCTCCGAGATGGGGCCGGGGGGGGGGGGGGGGGGGGGGCACATAGACTGAAGTCAAAAGCTTGTGACGGGGTCTCGACGAATAAAAAAAGAAGGTGGAAAGAGGGAAACAGAGGGGGGAGTTGAATCTGGTATACCCTCAGCACGATAACAAGAGGAGGGCCCCAACAAAAGTAGACAAAGAAAGAAAACGGGAGTTTTCACATAGCTATCTAGGAGGTTTCTTAAGACAGCCGAAGGGTCGCTTACACGATGCAAAACCGCCGCGTTTCGGTCGCTTTTTCTCAGAAAGAGAAGCCCCTTCTGAGCCTTGGGCACTTGATTCGGAGTGGGGCGAAAGAAGAATAGAATGGCCCATACAAATGCCACATGGCATGGATCTCCAAAACTGGAACTGTGGGGTGGGTCTGCTGCGTCTGTTCTTTCTTTTTGCTAAGATCATTATCGGCAAGCTCGTGCGATCCAGTCCCAGCCCGCGCTCAGATTTCAGAAGCGGAAGTTCGTGAATAAAGACATAAGCAACACCCCGAGAACAAGCTCGAAGTTGAACTAATAGCTTTCTTTCGCGTCTTTTTCTTTAAACAAAAACAGTAGCCACTACACAATTTCGTGTGCACCGAGGACGGTGGGGAGTCAGCCTCTCTCCTATTTTTGCTTGTTTGCGTTTTGTGCGGGGGAGGAGTCGGAGTCGCTGTGAGTTCCGAATACGGGGCTTTACGGGACAAAAGGCCAGACGCCGTCCCGTTCTAAGAACAATTTTAGGACTCCAGCGCCTTCTGACATTTTCACGTGACTTTTTTTTTTACATTTTCTTGTTACACGGCAAAGAAAGCATGTCGTTTCCTTCCCGTGATGGAGACTCAAGTTTTCCAGCTTTCCGGTCAAGTAGACTAGAGACAAACACCAGAGCCCTAGCTGAGCCTACAAGCGAACCTAGTGCCGTCTTGGAGAACGATACTCAAAATAGCCACCACATCCGCTGATGAGTTTTCTGCGAATTCTTTCCGTTTCTCTTCCTTAGCTTTTTTTTTTTTTTCAGTAGCCTCGCGTTATCGTCGTCTTAGTAGGGTGTAGCCCTTGTCAAATCCTGCCTTTCTCTTAATTCTCTGTTTCTCCTCTTACTTATGTAGGAATCTTTTATCCATATGAACAGTTTTTTTCTCCTGTTAAATATTTTCTACTGAGGTCCCGCCTCTAGCTCGCTGATACACGGCTACAAAATATGCGAGAGGTCCCAGCAGTGAGCATTTAGCATGTCTCTTGCACTGTCGCCATGGCCCTCCTTGGACCCAATGTTCAAACTAAAAGGCACCAAGGGAAATGCGAATTTAGAGTTTCAGTGCTTACTCTGCCTCCCCGAAAGAAAGCTTCTTTCACCTGTTAAGTCCAGAATTCGAACCTACGAAAACGCGTAAAGGTAAGCGCTTTTTAATTTTTTTTTTTGTAGAAACCAGTGCTTTAGAAAATTTAAGATTTTTGTGTATAGTTCATAATTTGGCGTTTGCATCCCAATTTTACACTCGCAACATTGCCTTTGGTTATGTTTTTCAGCCCTAGTGTATCCGCTGACGTACGTCGTAAAGTACGCTTCGAACAGTTGATAAAGACATTGATATTGATTTGAGCTCAGGGGAGCCGCGGCGAGTTGCTCTCAGCAACTCCCTCTGAGAGTTTACGCAAATTGTATTGTCAGATATCGGCAGGTCATAATGCTGCTTCCAAGCATACCATTGCGACATGAGCGATATGTGTTTTCGATTCGGGAAAATATTTGGTCTTCTAAAACGAACCATAATCTGTTTCGACTTTAAGTGTGGGCGTAGCAGAAGCTACAAAAGTGAGCTCCGGGCCTTCAGTGTCACTGCCAAGCACGCGCGCTCGTGCAGTGAAATCAAGTTGTTCAGGGCCGTTCATTTTTCCTCTCTTTCTCCCGAAAGAGAGGAGAGATGAACGACCTTAACTTTCAACGGCAACTGCTCTTGATGTGCAATAAAAACTAACACAAAACTTAAACGACTTCGTACATTATTCGCTGCTAGTAATACTAATATTTGTCTACTTATAGCTAATAAATTACCTGATTACCTCATTACGTTTTTGCATGTATTTCTTAAAGTAATTGAAAAGTAATCCCGTAAAGTAACGAAGTAATTAATCGATTATATTTTAAAGCCAGTAATTTGTAACGGTAATTCGTTACTTTGATGGCCAAGTAATTGTAATTGTAATTAATTACTTTTTACAAGTAACGGGCACAAGTCTGATTGTGAGTGTTCTTTCTTTGAGTGTTTGAAATTTATTTTTGTGTGCGTCTGTTTCCTTGCGCTGTGAAGTGTTAGTATGAATCAAAAGCTCGCCCAAGCTCAAGTATTGCTATTAAAACTTGGCGGGCTAGACATTCCGAAATCAAAACTCGACTGCAGCGCTGCTAGTTTTTGTGACCGCCACTGAGCCCACGTCGCAGGCGGAGCTGTGAAACTGAGCTTGCTCCGGTAACGTTGTACTGGGGCACCAAATACTGTGGCGCCCTCGTGGTGCCAACTCCCGTCAAATGCGGTAAATACAGTTACTCTAGGTATAGTTCAAGCCCCTTGATGAAATCCAAGTACAGCCAACCTTTGTTGCGCGAACACCCAAGTCACGTCCTATGTGCGATCGAGTGATCCGCCGCCGTTCGCTTCCAAGGGCCGCTCATTTCAGTGCTGCGCAGCCATTCGCTTGCAAGGGCCGCACGGGGCACGGGCCTCCTGCATTGGCTTATTTAACGCTTCTTGTCAAATTTGAACAAATAAAAAGCTTTACGTATACATCTTTCCATAAAAGGGCTGCTGGCCGGTTTCATTTTCAGTGTTCGTGTGTATGGCGCGTGATTTGCTCGCGTTGCGAAGCGTCAAACATGCGCGTGCGGGGCTGAGGAGATCGCTCGCTGGGCCGACAACTTGTAAATATTAGAATGGTGTGCAGTTTTTAGCGGGGGAGCCGAGGAAGATGAAGTAATTTGTCCATGGCGAGTTTCGTTTAATCCGCACTTCGTTTAATTTCAAGAACCCCTTGGACCGTTTCGAGCAAGCAACAGACGACAGTGAGGTATACACCGTTGTGTAAAGGCACTGAACAGCTGTGGTAAGTACACTTGCCTGTCAAAGTGAGGATTGGTCACTCGACCCTGGCGTGTTTCGTGTAGCCAAAATGGTCGTGCGTCACTGTTCGTCATTTTTTGTTATGACCCGTGTCTTCGATGATAAACATTTTGTAACATTTAACTGTACTATAATTTTTGAAATATGTTTTCTATAATCATAAATCCTGCTCAGATCTTCTTTTGAGTAGAGGCGCGCTTTGGCCAATACCGTTGGTCAACAAAAACAAGACGGGTTCGGTTGTCCGACGAAGAAGTAGCGCCAGGCGCGAGTGGCAGGGCAAGCTCGGACGTTGGAACACGGAGCGCGCGGGCTGGCAGGAGCAGGACGGCGATGAACTAGCGCAGGGCTCGCCCTTTGCCATCCAGGTGGGTCACTTCTTGAGGGCGTCTCATTTCTTCTGTGTGGCGGAATGAACGGCCGTGAATGCCATTTTTTTATACTTATGACCGCGTCTCGTCATAATGAAGTCGGGGAGGTCGTTGAACCGTCAGAACTAAAGTGAAAACAAACGATTGATCGCGACTAACATCACAGGGGGCATTCGCTTGTCTAGCTCAGACCAAGAGGTCTTGACCAGCTCGCTAGCAAAAGGCTACACGGCACTCACCCAACGTTGCGAGACACACTCTTTCCGGCAGGTGTCGGCCGTGTAAGCGATGAGCAACCAACCGTAAGGCGTTTTTACTGGTTCATACTACTGCGAAATTTTTATATGTTCTGCTGGGCACATCTATTACTTTAAATGAGGCGCTGAAGAGAATTTCGAGCGTTTTCGTATGAATGTTGCTGCGATTTCTAGAAAATACTGAAAGCTAAGGTATTTCTTTAAAAAAATTGACGAGTGTTTTTTGTTTTTGTCAAAAAGCCCCGTTTAATGATAAAATGATGTTTGCATCGGTCTTTTCATCTAAACAAAAGAAAGACCGCTGTTGTGTTGACTCAGTCGAGTGATCGTAGAACGTTCACTGTCGACAGAGAGCGAGAGCCAGTACTCCTCAATGCTAGAGGCTCATGCCTGTGCGTCTAAGGAAATGTGGGCCAGCTGTCCTTTCTCGTTTTCACATTTTTCTTGACATCACGGCCATCTGCAATAATTTTTCGCTCCTTCGGGGCACCTTCACATGCACTAGACGTGGCTTGCACTGACGTGCCATATATGGCGATTGTAGTAGCCTTACCGCTGAACTTCTGCCGCATATATTTCGCACCATTGAATCTGTTTTTTTTGTTTGTCAAGAACAAATACAAATTAGCGCTAGCGTAATGCGATGGCGTCACGTGCAATCCATGTGTACTTTTTGTGGGATCTTTCATTCGGTCGTGACACTGTGCAGTTCGTCTTTGACGAACAACCGTATCACCAGCTCTGGGTAAGCACCGTAAACGAATATTCGATGTGAACGACAAACCTTTAAAATTTGATAGGGTGCTTTTTTTCATAATGAGCGGAGCTTATAAGCCACAATGAAAAAAATAATAAAGAACTTTACCCAAACGGAGCACTGTTTCTAAGATGGTGTTAGTTGTGCGCCCACCTTTTTACCTTCCATTGTCACGAGGTTTAAGTATGATCGGGCTTCACCAGCCCTGCACACGCCCTCATATTTCATCAATTGGTTGGTGTTTCACTTTCAGTTTTAAGGCTGCTTAACACATTTACGTTTGACTACAACCGACTGCGCAACAACCCGTTTTTAAGCTTCCCGTGAAGCAGTCGCAACAGGCTTAAAAACCGGTTGTGGCGCAGTCGGCAGACACAAGTGTGGACCTTGCGTCGCTTTGTTTGCCATGATAACTCACCGTCGCATCTCGTCGTCAGCAGACGCAAGCGTTCGTAACGAAACGTAATGTAGTGTAACGTAACGTAATTTGAGTGAAGTGGGCTTTGGGAATGAGCCTTTACCGACAGATATAAATCCGCAAGGAGAGCGACTGGGTATTTTCTGTTGTCTCGTAACGCGATGATTGCTATAAAGAGTACTCAGCACAGTTAGGAATGCTACGTAATGGGCGTTCACGCAACGTTAACTTCTGGGGCAACGGTTGCGTCTTGAAAGTTCTCTGTAGGAGTAATGGGCGGTAAAGCGCCCATCGCCCGTTAACGTTTCAGGTGCACCACACGCACTACGGTTGCAACCCGAGAGGATCGAAGAAAAATAAGTCCAATTTAAATGTGTTTTTGATAAGTACATTATCCCATATTTTTTCTGCCATTAAACGTTGCTGTCTAGGAATACAATTGTTTCTTCTGATTTCTTATCTTTTAAAATCACATGATGGGGTGACTTTGTTTTGAGGTTCAGGGAAGGAACGGGGAAGTCCGAAAAGTTGTGCAATTGGGATGGGGGTTTTGGTCTAATTTTTCGTTTTCCAAATCTGTCATATGCATTATATTTGCTTTTAACCATTCTCGACCGACAACTTTTTTAAATAAAAAAATACAGAAGAAGTTAACATATTTGCCTTTATAAAAGGATTCTGAAGCAAAGCAAGACATTTACAACCCGATTCACAATTCTAATCTTACAGCTCTTGGCATAGACTAACGTCATACACGCGTATAAAACGGTATTGAGATAACGCCCAAGACATTTACAACTAAATTCATAATCCAAATCCAACTTCTCTTTGCGTAGGGGCTTCAAGGCCCTGCAGCCTGTTGGTGCTACTGAGTTAAATCAGAATACCAGAGAGGCTTGAGAATGGCAGCCAGAACCATGACCACCAGAACAACGTTCCTTGCCAGCGCGTTGCTGCTCCTCCTGGCATTCGAGCCGGCCTCCACCACCAACAAAGTCTGGGTCCTGTCCAAACAAGAAATGGAAGGAGACGGTACAAACGCGAAGGAAAATTTACGTTAAACCGTTTCGATTAGCTTTTTTGGCATCTAGTTTACTTGATGATTGTCTTATTCCCCCTTTTTTCTAAAGGCTGCAACTTTAACTCCTACGTAGCCGACCGAAACAATTGCGAAAAGATGTTCTCGAACGTGAGCGTAATCACATCTGGCAACAACACCTGCAGGTAATGATGAGCGCCTCCGAGGTTTAGCTCAATTTCGAATGCGGAAGTCTTCCGCTCCCAACACACCTTCTCTTCCTTACAGCGATGTCCAGATTTACATAGCATGCGTCAAAGATGCGATGCGTCGGACGCTGTGCAGCGCGAATGATACGATTAAAGAAAATGAAAATGCCCGCATCATGATGAACGTGAGAAAGAAGAACGTAACCTGCATCCCAAAAGCCGGTGCTTACTTCATTTCTCTTGCTAAGGGATCAAAAATATTGTGCTGCACTTAACGTTCACCTGCTTGCCTCAGAGAGAAAGAAAATGGTTACACTTCGTTCTAGCTTAAGTCTAGACGCAGCCGACGCTACGAGCTAAATTGAACCAATCGCACAGCGTCAAAAGTGCAAGTCACTAGGCCGTTCCTGTACATGATTGGTCAAGCGATGATAGAACATGTAAATGAATATGACGAACACCATGATGACGCGCTTTTGACGCTGTCTGATTGGTCACATCAGCACGTAGCATCGGTTGCGTATAGTCTAAAATGAATGGTCTATGACGGTTCAGTCTGTTCTCATTAACGTGAAATCATTCAGTCAACAATAATCTCCTTCAGAGTCACACATAAAAAGACTCGAGAACAAAATAATCCTGCCATTTTTATTGCCTTTTTCGCCATGATTTGTAATAAAAAACAACTATTGCTTGGCTCACATTTCAGCACCTCAAAACATGCGTCAAATGATGTCCTGCCTGCGACCTCTAGCTCTTAAAAAGTTCTTCGCATGTTCTTCAACCTTTCACTATTACGTGAAAAACAAGGATGACGTTTCCACAATTGGAAATGGCGGCGACTGCAGGTAAAGCATAGGGATAATTCTAAGAGTAACGAGTGTGTGGATAATGCAGTCGGTAACGATTAATATAAATAACAAAATGTGATATGCTAGAAACTTCCTAAAACCTTTATTTTAGACATCACTCATCATAGATAAATTTAATTATAAAAATTATTGCATCTAGTAAACACCGATTTGTGTTTCCTCATGATTAAATGCTGACCTAACCCGATGCACAATTTGACTCTTTACTTCTATTAACAACATCGCAGCGTTGCCACCGGTTACAAGGATTGTGTCCTACTGGGTCTAAAGCATTCCGACTGCGCGGATGACAAAGAATTCGCTGAACACGTGCTTTACTTCATGAGAAATGACATATCTGCACTTGCAAAATCCTGCCGAAGTGAGAAAAACTCACCTAACAGCAACGCTGCAGGTGAGAAATTAAGTTTGATGAAAATAATTACTAATATTTACGTACATTCTGCTCATCAGTTTTTTTGCTGTTGCTGTTCTTTTGTCAATTTAGCCGCATGTACTAGCTGCAGGGAAATAAAGCTGAAGGAAACAAAACTGAATGCAAATAAAACTGAAGGAAAATAAAAATTTGTTAACCTTTGCGTAGCAGCCGCGTGTGTTTTAACCTGGCGGTGTTCGGTACTGACACACTTTTGGTTGGCATCACACAAGGCGCGCGTTGTGGCCCAGACAGTGTAAGAGCTTGGCGAGTTGAGTTACCAAAGCGCTTACACTTGCACCTAAACCCCAGTATTCGTTGGGGCATCAGACATTGTTAGAATACAGCTTTCTGCAACTAAAAAACGTGCTTCGCAGCTGGCACGCGAGGCTGTATCGGGGTTAAACAACAATATGCCAAAAAGTTTATTGATTGCAACCGAGGTAAGCCAAACACTAGATCGATGCCAGCGTCCTATATGCTAGCCGCACTAAGCTGCAGAAACGAGGGATTAAACGTAATAGTAGTCAGAGCGGAAATTAATAGTTTGTCTTGATAGCCTTATCTCTCGGTATGTGTTTTTCCTTTTAAACAAGAGATAGTTATTATATTTAAAACCCAATATAGTTACCTTTTTTTTAAATTAAACGGTATAGAATCTTGACCATCTGTTATTGAGAGGTGCTTTAAACTTTATTTACAACCAGGATCGAAGACATGCAACGAAGACAAAGCCATTGACACCTACCTTATGTGCGCGAAAAAGTTCTTCGAGAACGTGGATTCGGAAGAGCTCCGCAACCTGGCAAAATTCTCGGTCAAGTCGAAATCAAAGTATCAAATTACGAGTGACGACGTTCGTCGCATGTTGGACTCTACATTGAAACCAGATCCCCCAGAAGAACTAAGAGTTGACCCTTGCACGTGAGTTGTTTTTCTTCATCTGCGCAACCCAGGCTGTAGCTATGTCACTTCAGACTGCGATGTACGCACAATACGCGAGTATCCAAGTAGATCTTCTAGGCGCCACGATGGTGTCCTTCCTTCTAAGTTATGAGTGGCGTTAATAATACACTTTTGATGATGTCGCATTTTCTTAACAGGGCCGTCAAGTCTTGGCTTAACTGCTATTATGACGACTTGGTCAAATTGAACTGCTCAACGGATTCCGAGTTGTATAAACGATCACAGTCAATATATCAAGTGATGGTTGACGAATTCAATTGTGTAAACACCCAATGTAAGATATAAATTCACCTTTTAAAACATAACCTTGTCGTGGCCATAAAGTTTGACTTGTGCTTTTTAAACTTACAGTTCAAGCCCTGGCAAGCTCGGACACATTGGACTGCCAAGAGAAGCCCATGCTTAACAATTTCTTCATCTGTGCCATCAACTACAACGTCGAGAGGAAAGGAATCCCGCTATCGCTGCAAATTAAGCCTGAAGCTGTGTGCCCGTAAGATATTTGTGAATACATCTAGACGAGCGCGTACACTGTTTAAGCCTAATTGGTAGTCGGTTACCAGCTCAATTCGCTTATAACGCTGGTTTCCAGATCACAGACACTAGAGATATATAAAGGAAATACGGCTAAGTTCTAGAAAATCCTAGCCGTTAATAAATTCTGAGCGACACACCTTAAGTCAAGATGACATCAGGCAAAGCTTTGGTTTTCAGTAAATGTGTATTTAACTATATTGAACTTATCTGTTTTACACCTACACACATCAAGGCAGTGTGTCACCCCTCCGTGTAGCAAATGTGAACTTTGCTTTGACCTCATCGAACAAGTAGCCTACGGTACTTACAAGGGAGACAAAGCAGAAAAATCAATATATGTATACATTTTAGCTTACTACGTATCTACATAGCATGCTACACAGAGCGCTCCACTGCATTTCCTTCGTGTTTTACGAAACCACAACGAATGCTCTGACACCCTCATCGTAGATTAGGGTTAGGCTGTTGTGCGCAGAGAACACATGTGAAGAAATCATTCTACTTTGAAACATTGCAGATCCAACCAAAAGTTTGAAATGTGCGTGGCACAAGCAATGCGTGAATCAAGCTGTCTCCACGAAAGGATGAAAATTATGCATCATCTCAAGTATTTAACCGACGTCATTACGATGCCCAGGGTTACATGCAACGAAAACAACGGAGGTGCCAAACCCCTTTCTTTTTCTTCCTCTACTTTTTTTAAAATGACACATGAAGATAACGAATTAAAAATAAACTTTTTTTTTTTTTCAGCAGAATACTCACGGCAAATCCAGCAGCGGGATAAGCGCTGCGCCAAAACGGTGCTCTATAAGGAGTACTTCACGTGCGGACTGTCTTTCCAGAAGGAGCTAGAAATGCACAATAACTTCGTAAGGGACGACACCGGAAAAGAAAGATGCACGTGAGTTATGAAAGTAATGTCGAAGCTCGATGCATTATTCGTGAGCACATGTTTGCATGCTTACGTGCGTTTGTAGACCTGGGCATGTGCAATATTCAAATCGCGATGTATTTACAGGACAATGAATTCCTACAACGAGTGCTTCCGACGGGCTGTTGACACATCCGAGTGCCATTCCAAGTCGGCAGTCACCGATACAATGCTATACCTTATGGAACTCGAGACCAAGGGGATTGATTACAATTGCGAAGAGCCGAGGCCCGTCTTAGGTAAGTCACTTTTTCCCATGAGCGACGAGGGCAGTTGTAATACATGCGTCTTGGTCGCAGATGCTGGAATTATATCGACACGGTGCTCCAAGAATCTAGCCGTCAAAAATTCGTTTCTCTGCGCCATGACCTTCGAGCATTTGGTAGAGGACCTGAAGGTTAAACGAGAAGCGACTGCTGATAAAGTGTGCAAGTAAGTTTGTTGTGGAAGCAACTGTTTCCCTGTTCGTTGTTCCCAGTAGTGTCACCATACACAAATCTTCCACGTGGCTCCCAGATACCTGGAAGATATGAATAGCTGCGTGGATATCGTGAAGAAGAGCACAGGATGCGACCGCGACGGGGAGATCTTTAATCACGTGTCCCCAATTTTGCATTCATTGACACACGAATACGATCGGGCATGCAGAAATGTCACAAGTAAGGCGTAACGTTCGTAAATAATAGAAATTCGGTTTTGTGAAATTTACTCCAGTTAGTGCTCCCGTGTTTACAGATAGTTTCCGGATGTCTTTCGTCCAATTAAAATCCCAAGACACGTGCATACGCCAACGTGTATTGAAGAAAATGTTCGTGTGCGGACTGAGCTTCAGCAATCTTTTCGACGAAATGGAACCCCGTGCCGTAGGAAGCAACCCTGTCAAATGCAAGTAAGTAAAAATAACAGGGCGAGGTTTCACTCGGATCCAGAAAAAACGTATTACCCTCAAAACCTAGATAATTGAAATTTGCCTATGCTTAAATTTTATTGTAATTGCGCTGATAGGGTCGCCTCGTCAACCTAAAAATGCCTGCGTGCATATTTCTTTAGGGCTCGCGATGGGCCAATCACTAAGGTTTGCCGAGTAACAATGTTTGGATTTGGCACAGTTGGTTTGCCATTATAAGGTATGCTTTCACATGTACTTCGTGTTTTTTTTTTGTGTGTCTACCACATCGTCTTATAGTTTACGTGTTTGTTCAGTGTAACCTCGCGATGCAGCATACCTCATAATGTCTGAGTGCGCCACGGGAGTAACAAAGCGTAGAATACAGATTAGCTCTAAAACGCGATCTACGCTGAAACAGACGAGCAACCGAAATCTCCCTCTCATTGCCTCCGTGCGTATTAAGGTTTCGAACCAGATCGCTTTATGAACTTTGTTATTCACTGAATGCACTACGTAGATCTCAGCTCTTGACCCAGCGGTGCAATGTGGGAAAGTAGAAACACACACTGTTTTCCTTGAGTATTGCGTACTCCCTGATGTTCGCTTACCGTGTTAGTTGGGTGCACTTTCAGACTTCTTATCGACTACGAGCAGTGCATCGCCAAGGCTTCTCGCGGCACGGGCTGCGACGAAGACGCCGAAATGCGAGTTCAAATCATGTCCTTTTCGGACATCATGCGCGACGAGTACAAAGACTCCTGTCCCAACATGGTGTACAAGAACTCCCCAGAGGCACCCGAGGCATTCGAGGATTACGAAGAAGACTGGGCTGACAGTGACCCCTACTGGTACGACTCGAAAGAAAATTCCGAAGCGCATGCTGCAAGTAAGGCGCGCAAAGCCAGCGCTCCGATGAATCGGGACCGGGAGGATCCGTTCGGGAACATACCGGACAAGGGCAACGCGGCGAGCCCCCCTCTGAACCATGGATCATCCAACGACCAGCAGCGAGGACCCGCCAAAGAGAGGATTCTCAGCGTAAGGCGCAGATTTCGTAGTGTGATTCATACGGCGCTTTACCTTGGCAGTGGGTGACACACATCCGGGCGCGTAGAAAAGTGTCATCATGCAAAGCACTCCTAATGAGTGATCGGATCATGAACGAGCGGATGAGCGTTATCCTGTGAACTTTACTTTCTGAGACATCTCAGCGTGAACATTGCTGACAAAACGCAACTCCTTAAAGGCCAGTTCACAAGTACATCGCTGCGCTAAATCAGCACTAGATACAGCGCTAATGCAGCGCTCTATCAGCGCTCTATGACTTCCGATGCAGCGCTGAGTTCACTGAGTTCAAGATGGCAGCGTCTGCGGCATTGCTAATGACGGGCAGCGTTGACAACAATCTCACTCTTTCAAAACGCAGAGGGAGGTATCCGGACACACTCGTAGCCACATATAATATAGGAGAGGGAATGTTTAGGTGTCGGAGCTGCATTTATAACCACCCCAGCATCCCAAAGGGGTAAAGAGGGGACCAAAACGCGAAAAATCCCCTCTCTCTCCCGCCCGCCCCCGCCCGCCCTCCTTCCCCCCCCCCCCTCCCCCCCCCGAAAGAAAAAAAAAGGCAACCTTTTTTGTACGATAATTTGGCGAACTGGTGAAGCTAGGGCCCCGCGGCCCAATAAGAGCGTCGGGGCGAGGTACGTGACCCGACGTCACGGGAGCATTTGTGTCACTACGACAAATGCGAGGCACGAGGCCCGGAGGAACCGGCTGTCGTCTGCTAGCCAAGAGTCGTCTGCTCCGAAACCAACCAACTTCGGATGAACGTCCACCGCAGCAACATATCCGTCCACTAGAATAGCGAGCACTTCGGGAACAGTTCATGAGACAACCATACGCTCAATTTAGCCGCGAATCTGTGTAGGGTGCTAATGCCAGGGCACAGTGCGATGCTTTGAGCTGAAACTGTCGATTACACGGCTGCGATCGCCGGCAATTGCCAACAACCATAGCGCAACAAGGCGATAAAAACAAAAAAAAAAAACGAGCGGATAGGGATGTGGCGTCACTTTAATTTTATTTAAATAGATCTGAAACTTATAAATTTGTGATAATTTATGCTTTATTCTTCATACAGTTTCGTTATAGATGGAATCGCGAGAGTTCAATTGCCGTTAAAAGAAAAAAGAAGCCTAGAACTACTTTTTGTCGCGGATGGCTCTGTTGCTCTGGTGGTAACGAGGCTCCGCTCCGGTGGCGCCGACCTTAGAGTATTATCACGTGCTTTGCACCGGCACCCTTATTTATAGGTCGCGGGGGCTGCAGCCTCCACAGTTCGCGAAGTTATCGTGAAACGGAGTATAGGCGCTGACATCGGCGGTCCCGAGAATAGGAAGTATTCACTGGCGGCCATAGCTGTGTGCACGACTGCTGAGCGCGTGCTGATGGCGAGCTTCCACAGTTCTTTTGTATCGTGCATTTCGCACCCTCAAGATTGCCGGTCTTAGCAGCCTATTAATGTGGGCTCGTTCAGAGCATGCGCTCTAGACATCACCCACAAATATGTCGCCCAGTGAATACTCCTTATAAGAACGAGAACGAGACCAACAGAAGAGCGGAGAAAGAAAGCACAAGAAAGGTTAGGCGTGTTCGTTTTGCCGCGACTAGTCGAAGTTGCTCGAGCCCTTGTCAACTTCATTTGATCATACACAATGCGCGAATCTGGAATTGGTACATCATACTTACAGGTGTTATTCTAGTGCTTCTTTGTGCACATTAAGGTGTCGCCAGCGTTATGGGCCAATCGGTACCGCCGACTGGGACCGCCGATGTTAGTGTCTATGCACCACTGTTTTCAAGCTTCCCCAATGCATGGGACCTTTCTCTCATGATTATTATACTAACATGGCGCGGGTCGCCCTATCCGGAGGTGCAGTGGGGGACATGCGGGGCTTCGGCCGCCGTCGGTGCGCCGCGAAGACGGGAGGGCCAGGCGGCTTAATATTATTTTAATGATCCGCCGCAGGCTTTCACCGCTAAGCGGGGGTAGGGAAGGGGGGGGGGGGGGTAGTCTCCCACTGCACCTCCGTCTCCCACTGCACCTCCGCAAAGGGCGACCCTATGGCGCATCCATATTGCTGATACAATCGTGTCGCGGCTTCACATATACGCCTCTCCTTTTTGCGTTCGTGCGTTTCGACTTTTGTTTTCTTCGCTCCCAAAAATAAGAAAGGCATATTATATCTCGTACCAAAGCTCATCAACACAAAAGAGTGCGTCCATAATTATTTACTTCCCTATTTATAAAGTTCATGTGCCAGCAGATTTCTTTTCGTTTTGGTTTTTATTTAGATCGAAATAACAGTGTAACACCCTGAATTCAGTTGAGTAGAATCGTAGTTCGGGCTGCTCACTGCCGTTGGCCTAACGACACAATGCAGCACTAATACCTTTGTTACAAGGGCCGTATCGCCCGTGTAACAAGTGCTGCATTGTGCGTGTAAGCAAAAAAGAGCATCGTGGAGTGGAGCGCTCGTGCAGCGCTGACATGCATGTGTTAAATCAGCGCTGCTGTACAGCACTGGGTTAGCGCTAAGCTGTATGCGTCAGCAGGCTTTTAACCTATCTGGGTATATAAATAAGCAGCTTAATAGCCTCATCAACACCTGATACTTCATGCGGTTTTGTGATAAAAATGAGAGATAAGGCGCTACAACGTTCATGAGTGGCCCCGCTTCGCCCGCCCCCATTCATCGAAAGCTGCTTTCAAAGCGGCTAATGTAACACTCTTATAGTTTATTGTTTAGCCCTTATTATTATAAGCCGAAACTGACCCCATTCCAAGGAAACGCGAGTCAAATTTATTGACCCATAACAGAAACAAGATTTTCTCCTTAATTTATAATAGGCCAGATTTTGAAAATCAAATGTCTCGCTACCAAATAACGTTAATGCATAGCTATTCGGTAAATTTATATGCTACGTTTCTGCAATAACCATTAAAATGTGAAGGCGAAACATAATTCTATGGTTGACGGAGCTAAGAACGTACTGAGTTTTAGTCACATCTCTACCGAAAATTACCCGCAACGTAATTGATTTTCAAACGTGCTCGCAATGTGAAACTACAGTTGTTTAAAGCAAGCTATAAAATATCTTCTACATTCTTCAAAAGAAACGTAGTAAATATTATCGCAGGGTCGAGCTTTCAGACCGAATAAACAACCGCATTTCTTTCAAACATAAATTACACATCCATTCTGGGCCCGCGGAGCACGAGTGATACACTTTCTTCAATATTGGGGTGACTCGAGCTCCCGAAAGTCATAGTACTGTATTAAACAATTATATGGTTGCACTTGCGAACGCACAGTTTAAAGGTAAAGCATAAATCGCACGGAAAAGCCACGAATTGCTTATGACTAGCTACTATCAGTTAATAAATAAAGAAAACCTAAATTGTTGCATTCTTATTTCTATTCGACACTCTGCCTTTTTGCAACAAATTGTTAGACCCCCAGGTTTTATTTTATGTTTAAATTCAGGTACGTTTTAAGCGATTCAAGCGGATGATTTGTGTGCTTTTTTTTGCCTTCTTCTTTGTTTGGCTTCACTAAAAAGGTCTTAAATATTGGTTATGATGGTATGTTCTGGGCACTACGTACTGTGTTGTAGTCAAGTTTTAATGGCTACAAAGTTCTTATTGTTTTTGACCTGCTATTAACAAATTCGAGCTAATATACTTCAATATTTTCAGGCCGCCATGAAACCAGACACACTCAGACAACAGGTACGTATCATATTGCGTTTAGTCAGTTTATATTTGACCTCTCGTCCCTCGCTGCTCAGGTCGGTTCACTGTCAAACAACGCAACGATCTCGAATGAGATGGAACTTGCTTCATTCCTTGGAAAGGACCCTAAGAAGCTTTCCTCTGGTCCTACAAACCTTAAGCGAAAAGTTCAAATTGAAAAGGAATACTTAGATGATTCTCCAGCTGCCATGGCTTCATACGGCTTTGGATCCGACTACAAGGACGACTACGGAGACAGCTCCTTTGCGAGAACATCTAATAAACGAATCGGGTAAGATCATACTTATGGTGACGAAATCGATTGACGCCTTGCACTACGTAATTAAAACTCGGGACCTAAGATTTAATGGAAGCGCCATTTAACGAATGATACCATATCTGAAACACAACCGCTTTCAGTGCTTTATTTCTGTCGCGTTAAGCTCTCTTGGTGTTGCAGTTTTAATCAGGAAAATTAACAATGCCTCGTCTGCGCTTTAGCCAGTTTGCACAGCTTCGCGTAAGATGCCTCTGCTTCATTTAACGCGACAGCAATTGCGCATTCCCCTGCAGGCTTCGCTCCCGGACACAGCAGAGGCGGGGCGACCCCAACGTCTGGGTAAACAACCGAAGGGCCATGAAGATCCTAGACGACGAAGAACAACAGGAGGACGACGACATCATGGGTTTGATGCGTCGAAAGCGCAAGCGCATGGGGAGCGAGACGGTACGCAAACTGGGCAAAGACCTCCAGGTCAAGAAACAACTTGACTACGACGACGACGGCGAGGACGACGACATCCTCACGGACAGAGAAACTCACATCTCTGGAGATGGTACTTCAACGCACTAATTTAAAAATGATAATTACGTTGTTTATTTTTTTTGTTGCGTGGTGATTGTTTTCAACGTTGATCGTGTACAGCGGGCACGGTGTAATTTATATATACGTGTCGACACCACGCGGCGTTGCAGCTGCCAGATAGTCATCTCCTTGCCTTGCTTGTAAGCGGCGCCACCAGATGACGTTCGATAAGAGGCTAGTGGTAGCCTGTCGCGGAGGTTTCTCTGTGGGAGATATACTTCTTTTTACAGTTGTTTTCTGGGTGGGGGTGGGCGGAAGTGGCCGAGTGGGCTAACGCGTCTCAGCTCGGAGCGTGGAGCGAAAGCTTGCGCTGGGAACCTCCTGGGCTCGATCCCCGCCGCCCCGCCCGTTTCGATCTGGATGAGTTTCGTACCGGCACGCGTTCGTGTGATCACTAGTGCGTGATGCGCGTTAAAAACACCAGGTTAGTGGCTGTACTGCACTGGCTAAATTTCTCATCTTCAGCTAAAAGACCGATTACCCGTTGAGGCGCATCTCCATCAAGGTTGTATAAACGTACAGAGCAAATAAATTTTTTTTTTGTTTTCTGGGTGAGCCGCGTTATAAGTAACCAAATACTTTGTATAACTTTGCAATTGCGCTACGCGCGTTGCTTTGACACAGCTTCGTCGTTGACCCTAGCTTCGTTCTTCAAGTGCGACAAGAACAGTTTTATAAACGTGTTGAAGTGGTGAGATCTCTGGCGCGGTGTTCAAGCCAGCGTTCGTCGAAGTCAGAGCAGAAGCGCCGAGCGGAAAGCACATGCGTCCTTGTGCAATGTCAATCAGACACTTTTTTTTTTCTTCTTGTAAGTAGGTTACTGGGGTGCGCGCCAATGGGACTTTATCTGGTCGATCACGTCGCAGCGTTCTCCCTGCTGCCTGCCCTCACCTAGAGATTAGTCACGTTAGGTTTACCTGCACCGATGCAGGAGGTGCAGCGTTGTACTCCCGGTCGTACCTCAATACACATCCCGGAAGTACACTGCACTACACTTTTCTGCACCGGTGCAAGTGGTGTAGGTAAACCGAACGAACCTAGTATCTCACACCTAGGCAGTGGGGCCAACAACAAATCTCAATAGACATAATTTTGAACACGAAATTTTATGGCGCTCAAATGGCGTACCAATTTATTGGACCTCCTTATGTGATTTTTAAAGAGAATGAAAGAAACTAAAACCATTGTTTGTTATTGAGTGCTTATATTTTCAATCGTCACAAGGAGCCCGGTCTAACTAAAACGGAAATATGCACACAAATTTAGCAAAAAAGCCACGGGGCGTCCGTATACACCTTCCACTGATTTCGTTTCAGAATGCAACTTAAAACAATTGAAGCGTCAATCTGAGACTTGCGATCGAACTTTCTCGGACAGCATAAAAGTATCCTGGAGTAAAGACTGGCCCGGATCGTCCTCGACCTCACCTGTAAAAGAAGTTCAGGACAAACTCTGCAAGTATGTCTCAAACACTCATACCGTCGGTCACGTTGTGTTTGTCGCTTCCTATTAGCTCAAAAGGAAAACGGACGAAAGAATATTGCTTCGAAAGACTGAACAGACAAACTGGAATCCTACAGTTGGCCGTTGGCCGGCATCGCCATGCGTCCCCAACGTGTGCGCGACATGTCGTGGCATTTGGTGCCTTTTAAACTTCCCTGAAGGATGTTTAGTCAGGTCCTGTGGAGACATTAAACGTTTTGTTACATATAAAAGAAGAAAGGTTCAAGACCATTTAAAATTGAGCTAGTCTTAACATACGCCCAGATTCATAAAAACAATGAGGGCCGGCGTATTGACCCCTTTCAAATGTCCCGTGCCAACTGTGAGAAACTTTCGATTGAAGAGTGTCATATATTGAAGTTAAGTTCACCAATAATTCGGAAGTGAAGCATCATCCTCTGCTGTTTCTTGATATTTTACAACTCAGCTCATCCCAATCCAGTGTGGGATAAGTTATTTCCTTGTCTGGTAAATATCGTGCACAAAAAACGTGGACGATAGAGACTCACAAACTACAGAAGTTGTGTTTGGTTTGTGTGTTTCATCGCTATTTGTCGCGTTTGCATTTGTCGCTTTCTTAACCTTGAATCCGTACTGGCTGATTCAACTTTCTGCGTGCTGTAACACATCGAACATCGCGTTAGATATCATTTCTACATTAACCTCAGAAAAAGGGGCAACTCGCGATATTTGGTGGCGTTTTAATAGGAACAAAAACCACTCAAAATTGAAATTTTGTGGTTTGTTGGATTCTTACGGCACGTAGACTGAGTATGACCGTTAAAGGGCAATCTCAAAAAACTGCTTTAGTGACCCCAAGTCCTTTATAACGTAGGTGCTTCTCAGATCCGATATGCCATGGTGAGAAACGTTTTGACCATCCTATGCAAACACCAGAAACAGCTTCATCCCTGTGTTATTTTGGGGTACCTTTCCTGCAAAGAAATTTCATAAGTTTGTCAGGATGCTGTTTTTATAAAGACAGACTTCGTTTTTCCGTTTTGTAACTTACCCTGTCCCAGTTCTCTCCTTATCTACCGAACCTGCCTGCTCGACACCGCCAAACGAATGCACTGTGGGGAAATTGCGGGCAAGGTGGCCATCGTCGTTGAGGAACAGATGAAGAAGCTCGGAGTCGCATTCTGCGCTGCTTCAGCCTCAAAGGTCTCGATGTGGACGATGATGCTGCTACCACTCACTCTGCTAGTGCGCTACGCTCTTCAAACCTAGGATAAGCATGCTCGGATATCCGAATGAACCTAATGAATATGAAAGACAATAAACATATTGTTCCCGAAGTTTGGTGCTGTCTCTATAATTTTTCGGTTCGGTTTGTCACAACATGATTTCCTCATAAGAAGCGGTGGCTGTTGCATAACCAGGGAGGTACTAAATCTTAAAACAACAATCTCGACCAACATATCTGGGTTACACTTGAAGGAAGCCACCAACAGAATAGACCGATCTCACTATGTGTTCGGCGCATGCGTGTCGCCGCAATAACTTTAGTTCACAGGAGGCAGACGGCCGTGCATGCGAGGGCTCGTCCCTTCTCGTGCTATACACGCGCAAAGCTCCAGCGAGGTTGTTGCACGTGCAGAAAAACTAACGCTCACTCGATGCATTGCGGCAGCGGTGGCCAAACTGGCTGGTGAGATCGGTCTATCGTGTCTCCCTGAAAATTGGACAGTCATTGGGACCATGCCATGATCACGCGTGCACGGCATGGCAAGCTGAAAGCGTGGCGCTCGTTCTCCACAAGTGCGCTACAGCAGTTTTTACAACGTTGTCCACCTTCCTAACTAATTAGGTATTCTCCGTGAGCTTCAATCGCTATGCGCGCTGTGGTGCAGGGTAGAACTGCTATACTTCGTCTCACTTTAGCATGGGCTCTTGTCTTGTTAGCCGCACATGCCAAAAGTGCGAAATTGTTGCTTTGGATGATGCCTCGGTGGATTCATGAGCGAACGTGCAGCGAGTGCTGACAAAGGCAAGGGCGCGAAAGCGTGCACTTGAAAAGTACGTTCTATGCTCGAGGTTTTGTACAAACTAAAACATTCGATTGGGCTAGGCCCACGTGTCTGTGCCTCGGTTTGCACTGCAGACATTTTAGATTCCACGTACCGGCAAGCTTGCACGCCATGTATTTACCGTAGCCTGGAAGAAGGGCGAATAGACTTTATTGTACCTATATATGAGTCTCTGGAGACTGGGTGGTTTCCTTAATCCAGGGCCCTAGTGCTGTCAGCTGTCAGCTTCGCCCGCTGGATCAACTTTTGTTGGTCGGCAGTCGACGAGCTGTGCAGTTCGGCTTCCGAGTTCTCCACAGCAAACACTGCAAAAAAAAAAAAAAAAAAAAAAAACCCGTGCGTCTACTTTCCCGCACAACACTCGGAGAGCCAATCAGCGCAACTTACGGAGGCAGCTCAGCGAATGACGATGCCGAAACATATTTTTAGACCAAAAAACGCAGTCTCAGTTGTGACATTAAGCAATGCAAGCGTGACGTTTTGCATTGCTTAATGTCACAACTCAGACTGCGTTTTTTGGACTAAACATGTTTCGGCATCGTCATTCGCTGAGCTGCCTCCATCAGTTGCACTGCTTGGCTCTACGAGTGTTGTGCGGGAAAGTAGACGCACGGGCGTTTTTTAGAATGAATGTTACTCGAGTGGTGGTCAGACTTTCGAAGGCGCTGGTCCTGCGTACTAGGTCCTGTAGTAAAAGCAGCTTCAATAGATAAGAACTCGCACTCCTTGGCACTCTGAATGATTAACTTCCTGTGGCTATGTAAACAGAAGAATATTACCATATGGCCGATAAAAAACGATTGACTGATTGACTAAATGATTGGCTTGGAAATATTTTACCCACGAAGAACAGCGTCTCTAGACTGTGCAATTGTGCTTTCCATTGGTCGTTTTGGGGAAAATGTCCTAAATTCGGGAAAGAGCCGCTGGAAAGCCTTCATTCATCCATCTAAGAAATGCCTGCGCGTCTACTTATCCGCAAAACACTCAGAGAGCCAATCTCTGCGATTTACGAAATCAGCTCAGCGAATGCTGATGCGGAACATCCGTTTAGACCTAAAATGAAATCTGCGCAGTGGCATTACGCAATGCTAAGCGTCATGCTTGCATTGCGTAATGCCGCAGTGCACTCCTAATTTTGAGGTCTAAACAGATGTTCCGCCTCATCATTCGCTCAGCTGATTCCGTAGATAGCAGAGACTGGCTCTTCGAGTGTTTTGCGGGTAAGTAGACGCGCAGGTATTTCTTAGAGTGATAGACTCAGGTGGTCGCTTTCCAGTGTTCTGGAGCGCTCTGAAATGCCGATGCCCATTCAGCTGGTCAAAGTCGGGGGCTCTACGTATATTTGGCAGGTTCTTTCAGAGCCCTCTCAATTTTTCAGATCGCGCCGTGCTCTGACTCGTAGTGTGAGAGCGGTGGGAACGCGTGTCAGAGGACCAGCCACGTTACTCTAGTCACTTCCGTTGTTGGGTTGAAAGAGAAAGGAGTCGATGCGGCCAAAAGGCTTAGTATTGGACGCTGCCGCGTTTGAAAACCGCACCAATCCCGCTGTGCTGTGCAGTGAGTACAGGATGGGCTCGGCGCTTGAGGGGGACTTTCCCAGCAAAACCCAGCGTCCGCATTAAGGGCTGGCACTTTTCTATGCGCGCATGCGGACATCGGCTGGTGGTGCGACGTCTAGGAATACTGAATCTGAATTGACCCTGGTAGTGATGACGTCACAACATGGAGCTGTGCTTCAAATACACAATGTTGCTATGGCTGTTATGAACAATTGCATGGGGGCTCGGCGTGAGGTTAGAAATCGTCTGATAAAAAAGTAAATACTTTTTTTGTAAGCATTGTTTTTTCTTAATATCTAATTATGAAGACTTTTTCTACCGTCTCAAAAGCCTAAATGGTTGACAAAAGCTGGTATTGAAGTTTCACAACCGATTTCGTCTTGCTAGCAGACGACACCATGGCTTCGCGGGTTCGGTGGTTCTCTCTGACAGAATACGCGACTGCGTTGAATGAAGTTGGTGACGATCGACGAAACACATATTCTCGGGGTCAAATTTCCGTCGGATTTTGGAAGCGAAGAGTGCCCGTGCACAGCTTTGATTGACGCTCAAAATGCGCGAGTGCACGAACACCTTCCTGTGGAGCTCGTATTTTAGAAGGTGAAAACACTGTGAAGCCGAATCACGCACGACAACGATGTGAAGTTTATCAAGGTCGAAGTGCGGTCCAGCACACGTTTCAAGGATTTCTGACAGCAAAGTTGTTCAGTGCACGTGTGGATAACCGAGAAGGAGCACCTTCCTTTTATCCCGAACCTCCACCAGAAATATCCCGGACAGAAAAAGCCCGACGAGCGTAAACTGAAAATGAAGGATTAATCGGCGGACTTGTGCCACAAGCAGAAGAAGGAATGCGTCGAAGCAGCAGCAGCCTACGTCGCGGCGTTGGCGTGACGGCTGGCTGGAGCGAGAGTGAATGTGTCTCGTCGTAGGGAGAATCTGAGTGAGTCGACATACCTCATGCTCAACTCCTTATCTATTAGACTTGGCATGTCGAACATTCGACCCAGAATGTTCGAGACTGATTAGGCAAAGTCATTCTGGCCTTGTTACCGTTTACACTCGGGGTAAAAATAAACACGAATCTTCTAGATGTAAGGAGAAGCGTTCCTTCTTGGCCATGCAAGCGGCAATATAACTTACCCGATATTATTATTCAGCTCCTTCGCTATCTAGGGTCTTACTTAAATCTGAAGAATAAGTAGGAGTTTTTCGCTATCTGATGATTTCAAGCAGGTACAAAACACACACCCATATTGCGAGCCTGAAAAACAAACTTCGAGGTCTCAAACCAGTCATCTTAGAGCCAAAATAATTGCTCCTTCATTAAGCGTACGTCAACTGCAATATAAAAAAATACGTCCCGACGCTGCTTTGATATCATGACCCAAACAGATGCTTTTTCTTGCTGTATTTTTAGCAGATCTACATGCGTGTGATGATTTTCGTCAGACAGTGTTGTAACGCACGCAAATACAATTCGTTTTCGTAAACCAGGGTTGCTAAACTCGTCAAACACAATGTTGGTGCCGAACTAGCGGCGCGGTGGCACGTGGAAAACAGACGCGGAACTCTGGGTGTGAGTAGTGACGTCGGTAGTGTTTGAAAGATGAGGGGGCGACGGGGGACGACGAGAAAAAGCGGTGGAAGGGAATTAAAAATGGGTAGGAACAACACAAACAAAAATGGGGTTCACGGAGTGCAGTAAAAAACGTCGGGAGAGAGATAGAAGGGGGGGGGGGGGGGTGATAGTAGTGAAGAAAGTGGATATCCCTTCCCTCCGAATTTTGTATTATACCTTTCTGAAATGTCCGGGCATTATGTAGGAGGCTATGGTCTGGGGCTGGGGCGATCACCTCCCCCACTCAATCTTTTTGCTCCTTGGCCCCTTTCTCGACGCCACTTGGGTAGGGGGAGGGGGGATGAATCGCCCCACTCCACGTCATCCTTTTTCGACGCCCCTGCTTAGAGGTGTTCCAACTGGGTGACGACGAGTAACAGCACAGCGTGCAATTTTCGAAATAATTGTTCTAGAGCTTCTGAAATTAAAGGACCCATGAAACGATTTTCGGACTTCCGGCCAAATAAGATGGCGTTTGGGGATGCCCCTCAACTCATACAATGTTTCCCGGGTCACGTGTGCATGACGCGGTCTTGTCCTCTCCTTAGCACTGTGGACGTTGCTACCAAATACTTTTACTAGGGGAAATACATTCCACTCCTCTCAAATACAATAACCTCAGCGCGGACAGGTTTTCCGGGCTTGGAGAGAGCCATCTATCGCCGGGGAGGTCTCGGCTATCAGGCGGTAAATGATGATGATGATGATGTTTGTTCTACACACAACATTTATCGTTGTGGAAATGCTCGAGACACGTCCCGCGCGCCACTTCAGGGAAGAACAGGGCGTCTAAAATCTAGCTCAGTGCTGCGCCAAATACTTTGCTGCGCTGTGCCGCCATGATCTTCCCAAGGGCTGCACGTTGCACGTGCCTCGTGAATCGGAGACGACACCGCTGCGGCCACCGCGAACATCCACGTGCACATGCGCGTGGACTGATGCGGACCTCCACTCCGTCAGGGCTGGATTCGGCGCTGTAGGCGTTCTGTCTAATGCAAATGAGTGGAGCGAAATGTATTCCCCCCAGTAAAGTATATGTTGCTACAGCGAGAGCAGACTCTCCCCTCTCTCGCCATTAATAGGCTGCTAAGACCGGCCATTTTGACGGTGTGGAATGCACGTTGCAGAAGAACCCTGGAAGCTAGCCATCAGCACGTGCTCGTCCCGCAAACAGCGATGGCCGCCAGTGAATACTTCCTATAGTTGCAGGCAGGCGAACCAGGCGCACGAGAAAGAAAACGAACCACGCAGCTGCCGAAACGTGGTTTTTATATCGCGTTGATCACACCCCTCGTCCGGTAGGAGCCAGCCAACGTTGCCAGGCAGCGGAGCAGCGGGGAGGGGATACTTTGACTTACTCCAGATAGATGGCGCTGTGAAAACGTCGTGTATAAAGCCCCTTGATAAAGGCGTTTTTTTACAAGTACCGCCAACCATTGTTGTGGAAACGCGCGAGACACGTGCCACGAGCGGGTGCTCCGCCGCCATTTGCTTCCTAGGGCCGCTCATTTCAGTGCTGCGCCGCCATCCGCTTCCAAGGGCCGCTCGAGACGTGGGTCTCGTGCACTCGCGCATTTGGCGCTACTTGCACGACAAACGCAAACATATCGAGGGGCTTTAGTCGTGTACTGAACAAAAATATAAAACTTTCGATTCATTTGTTTATGTTGGAACGAAATCATTTCTACACGTTTCCATCAAACTGAGAATATACTTCTTCAAAAGCGATCTCAATAACCGCACCCGCCGTGAAGTCACAAAGTTAGTTCCTATGGTCGCCGTACGTGAAGTCAAGTAAAAAAATAGTTCCTTTTTGTTTTCGCGGTTACGCAGCACACTCGCGACATTTTGAGAGAAGTGGTCGTGTTTTATGGTCCTTGTGCTAAAGCAAACAAAAAAAAAAAGGGGCAATCAGGTGCACGTTCTCTCGATGTTAAAGTCGTTTCATGGGCCCTTTAAGACTATTCGCGTTATATGAACTCGCGAGAGGCCATGAGAGACTTACAAGCGAGAGGCTCGTGCCAGGTCTCGTTGTGTGCAGGCGCGTTCAGTGACGTCCTTTCATGGTTCCTACCCTTGACGTCAGAGTCAGGCTTGTCAGTTGTGAACGACAAATTCGATGGTGCGTGTTCGAATCTATGTTGACAAGTTTGATTGTGTACGATGAAAGCTTGAACCCATCGCGCTTTTAGAGCATCACCGTCGATGCTGACAACCAGAGGTTACTCTTATTTTCGTTGATGAAAGCAGAATTATTCCCAGTTTGGCTAATCTTGGCAAGCCGACCACACCGTTGTTTTTGGTAGTCTATACATGGCAAATGCCTAGAAAAAAAGAGTCAAATGAGTTTATTCCGCGATGGGAGGACAACTGACCGGAGGCGAAATCCGCCCGAAAGCGTACAACGCTACTCGACTGGTTCCGACCTAGCCACGTCAGGCTGCACTTTGATCATAATCAAAAGTCCGAGAAAAACGAAAGTTACTTTCCTTTCTCTCGGACTTTTGAATATGATCAAAATAGAGATGTTTTTCAGTAAATTCTGCATTATCGCCAGAAACTTGAACGATATCAGACTGTCATTTTCGACGGTGTTAATTTTAGAATTTAATTACCCCAAGCGCCTTTCCGTGATTTTCAGAGACAGTTGCTGGTCGCAGCTGATAATTTTTGTCAGGACGTCACACGTATGAATCACGGTCGTCTCCGCGCACTTCCTCGTGCTGCTCTTGTTCGGCGCCTAGGGAGTAGTAGGGATATTTCGCCCCTTCAATGAAAAAGATCAGGAAGATAAACGGATCTGCGGATTTGTGAAAAAAGAAGACTTCGCGGCAATCCTCCGGCTTCTCCCCCTGCTCTTTCATAACACGGACAATCTGTGTGTTTGACGAGTTTAGCGACCCTCGTGATTTTCCTTACGCCTACCATGTTCCAAATGATCACAGAATCAAAATCGGATCATTGTGAAAACGATTCAAACTCTTGAAGATGGCATACTTCAGCCATTTCCTGTGCGTTCGTCATGCGTTTGTCGTATGCAGCAGTCTCGAGGACCGGAAGTTGTCGTCGCAAATGTTTAAGAAACAGCCGATCCTCGGCAAACTTCTGTCGTGGTGAGTGTGACATATAATCTTTCTATACCTACTCTTTTTGGACACTTAAATTCTACGTCTGATTTTTGACCGATCGTTCTTTCGGAGCGAAATACAGTCCAAGATATTCGCCCATAACAACGCCCCTAGCAACGGTTTGTTTGGAGCGGTTACGTCACTCTTACGCGGTCATCACTGCTCTCTATGACAATTTATTAGATCGCGCTTCACTGCTCCTCGAATTTGCTCGAACGCGGCCACCGGATGATCGGAATCGGCCATCTTTTTTCTGTGCAAATCTGCCGGGTGAAGCGTTGTTGAGGCTGGGCGGCCGCGTACTGAAAGACGTTTTCTCCTCGTTCGGTGACATACTCCAAACCATTTGTTGAAAAATCTGTGTATACGGTCGTAGCTGCCTTTGAAAACCCGTTTAATGTTATTATGAAAGTGCAGCACCGAACGAAAAAGGCACAATTTGTCTAATACAAGTCTCCCGGTCGGGCGGGGTGATCAAAAGACATGCCTTGGAATGTCGAGGTGCTGCGTCCTTGTGCCTTCGCACGCTTGGATACCGATGAAGAATCGACGCCATGTGAATGTGGCAAATCACCGAGAAACGTTTCAAGTTGTGTCGCGCGTACATGACTTTGCTGCGTACATATCGATCGCGGAGTTCTGGTCGTCCACCTACTCTGGCGAGTTGTTATTATTAATAAGTAATTGATATCAGTAAAAAAAAAATGGTGGCGGCTATTCTGCATTATTAACCATAAATATGTTCGAAATCAACCCGAATGGATTCGAATTACTCACGTCGCATGGCAACACAGATAGAGCATCGCAGTGGAGCAGCGCTGGACAGGAGGTAGGTTTTCAAACACCACTTTATCAAACTCATTTTTGGCCCGCTTGTGCCACAAGTTGCTCATACAGCCGTCGAAGTTAAGTAAAACTTTGCTCCAGAGGCACATACACCTTCACACATGTTGCACCAGCGAATGTTTTCCGCAAGATTTACACGACGTCAATTCTTGATCGCTATCCAAGCGTGCGAAGGCACAGAGACGTAGCCCTTCGTCGCACCAAGGTATGTCCCTTGATCACGCGGCCTAACCGCGAGACTTGCGTTTGACGAGTTGTACCTTTTTCCTACGGTGCCGCGCTTTCGTAAAAATTTCCACGGGTTCTCAAAGGCAGCTACGGCTGTTTACGCAGGATTTTCAAAGACTTCTTCGGCGAATGACGGCGAACAAGCAGAAAGCGCGTCTGTCAGCACGCAGCCCCCAGCCTAAGCAACGCTTCACGTAGTAGATCCACACAGGCCCACTATGGCCGATTCGGAATTTCCTTGGGCCGCACTTGCGCTGAAGCGACCAAGGGGGAATGCGAGATCCAGCAAATTGTCGCGGAGATCAGTGGCCCAACCCGGCTCTGGCTAAAAAAGTGGCGTGTGTGTATGTTTATACTGCCTAGAACTTAGTCTGCTTCAACGGGCCACTTGTCTCCCAGCCGTAGATGAGAAATGTCGCCAGTGCATTACAACCGCTAGTCTGGGGTCTTTAGCGTTTATCACCGAGTAGTGATACACGACCGTACGCCAATACGATGCTCATTCATATCGAAACGGGGGGGGGGGGGGGGGGAAGGGGGGGGGGGGTAGAGGGGGATTGAGCCCAGGATCCCTGGGTTCTGCAGCGCGAGCTTTCGCTCCACGTGCTCCGAGCTGGTGTGCGCTAGCCAACTCTACCACCGATCCACCCGGCTCTGGCTAAACCCTTCGTATCGGGCAGTAGCTTGTGCCTGGGAAGTGGAGCCGTTGCAATAGTTGCCCTCGGTATCCATTTCCATGTAGGTGCTCTGACCGATTGGAAAAGTTGCCGAGCATTCGGCTGGCACGCCCTTCCTCTAGCTCCGATCTGGAGACGCTACCGGATCTTGCAGATCCGATTCAGAGGATTGGAGTGCTGGAAAACGACACCCCAAGTATACAATCTGTGTGCTGGTCAGGCGGCTTCAAAATCTCCCGTGCCCTTAGAATTCTCTTTATTCCAAATTATTATTATCGTTGCTTGGTCCCCAACTGCTTGGGGGACGATCCAATTGCCAAATAGCTTAAAGAAAGCCATGGACAAACAAACCAAAATACGTGTCCACGCTATTGACTATGACCATTGATGCCAAGGCGAAGGATCGGTTGACACTGCAGACTCAAACACCTTCGGAATTTTCTTTCAATCCTACCCCTACGGAGTTCAAAGTCAATTGCATCTGTACAAGTGTATATGAAATGCCATCACTACGGCGTGACGAGTGTTACAGACCACAGGTTAGCGGCACTGGGCAAATTACATCTCTACAGCAGGGACATAGTTGGTCATTTTGATGCACACTGTCATAGCCTCTTCTATAGTGACAAAGCCTGGCAGATCGTCACGTGACGCGGCCGCCGAAAGTGAAAAGGTAGAGCAGCAGACAAGAGTCATGTAACGGGCGCCGATCTGCGGCGATAAACCGAAACACACTTGCCCCAAACGATGAAATGTCCGCTCGTGCTTCTCGCGTTCCTCGGGCTACCGTTTCTTTTCTTGTCTGGTTTGAAAACGATGTTTCGGGTCCTCGTCGCTGCAAAAACTGTGCGCTGACTACCAGACTCCCGAGAAATGCTCTGTGCTACCAGATCCTCACGCTCCAAATCTACGACCGGGCACTAGTTCGTATTGCAGTCGTAGTGGCGAAGACGATGAAGTGAGGATTCACGATGCCGGAGCATTAGAAGATGACATACACTAGAAGAAGAAGGTAAGTGCAAGGCCGTGCCGGTTCTCGCGCCAACGCAAGTGCTCGACCGTAGTATTCCAGATGGGTGCAATGCTGCTTGAGCCCTAAATTTACCCGCACGATGGTGAGTAATAAAGCGATTCACCTTACTCGAATTAGAATTTACGTCCAATCTCAAAAAGCGCGTTTCTTTTCTTATCTTCAGAATGTCTACACGGGCAACACAACCGTGTGAGAGGTCGTACAATCTATGCATTTCCAGATAAAAAGAAACAAACACCAAAGGAAGAAACACGGACTAAATTGAGTCATGCGGTTCTGCCTCGTGCGATCCGCAACGACAATCCTTCAAAAGTGAGTAAATATCTCCAGCGACAAAGCCATTTTTCCGCTGCGAATAATAACAAACGAAAATGTTTTACCTAACCGGAAAATTGACTAAACCGCTATGTTACTTTCAGGCATCAATTCACTCATATTGCGTAGGCACGATGGCGCGTTTACTGCAGTTTCTCGTCATCTCGGGAATCCTGTGCGCGTTGGCTACTGGCAGGGGTAGGTTTTCCACTCCCGAAATGTTTGCGGCATTCCTTTGGTAACCAAACGTATGGAAACCTCCTCGTTCCAGTTTTCCTTAAGCCGAAGGATGCCCCGAAGAACAAGTGTCGAAGATACCACGCACTCAAGCGGTTCAGCGCGTGTGGAACAGTGGTCGGTCAAGCCGCCAGGGAGAAGAGCCTTCTGGAGAATCCAAACCACAACGCAACCTGCATGTAAGATGTCACGACTGACCTCCGCTTGGGGTTAACCGTTTTTAAATTATCATAGTCGGGGAAATTTGGATTTCGTAGATGTCCTTCCATTCGCCGATTTGAATACTGCTGGAGATTTTAAGGCTAAACCAGGATGTTCGTCTTTTTAGATGCCCGTCATGTGGGGAAGTGACGGAACGATGAAATTTTACAATTCCAGACTTTTACTTAACAGTGCTTGCAAAAGCATCTTAAAGTGTCCCTTTTGTTGTTATTTCAGAAAGGCGCAAGCATTCGAGCCATGTTTCCAAGAGTCGATGCGTGCAACGCGCTGTACAAGAGGCTCCGAGTTTAGCTTTCACCTTCAACATATTGCATCGCTCGTCAATGAGATGTACAAAGAGAGTTGCAGTCCTGGGGAAGCCGTTAGTTCCGGTAAGGCAATAAATATTTTTACCTATAATGTCATTTGTTACACGCTCATATTTTGAGTGGTATCTAACTAATGATGGAGGCGAAGTTTGCAGTTCATGTTACCTATAAACATCTACTGAAAAATCAGCATCCCAATTCACTTGCTGTTAAGTTTCATCGATGTTTAGGGGAAGTGACGAGCCAATGTGGCAATGTGGCCGAGTCGGAAGTTACGGGAGAGCTTATCTGTAATATCATTATGATAAAAAACCAAAAGGTTAACAATTACTCGCATCACCAGATGACACTCGTCACCAGACACAAATGACATGAAACGAGTGTAAATAATAATCCTAATATAACCATCACGTTACTTGTGGCCTTTACAGCACAGACACAAAAAAGGTTTGTGCTTGAACTCTGGAGGGTTAGAATTTTGAAGCACACAGCTCTATACTCTGTTTCATACTTAGCGTGCAACGCTGTCAAAGCTATTGGCGCGAGCGCGTGGCTTTATCTATGGTTTTGTTTGCGCGAGAACGCGTGCAAAGGATCAACGAGATCAAGCCCCATGCTCGCGCCAGTAACTTTGACAGCGTTCCACACTAAATATGAAAGAAAGTACAGTTGAGATATACCACCATAGGTAGGGTACGGCACTTGCTCGATTAACCTACCGATTAATCGAATAATGATTTATACGTGATTAATTTCAACCGGTGAATCGGCAAAATCTTGATCAACAAGAGAAGTAAAAATTCAAGGCTGTCGCCGCGCAGACGCGGACGAGTACACCTGTATGAGGTGAAACTTTAGGTGAAATTTTGAACTTGAAGTAAACTGTAACTCCACAAACATGTGAAGGTTGCGTATGTCCCAGCCGCTCCAACACCGTGCGGCTGTCTGTTTAGCGCCGCAGAGACTATTGTGAAGAAACAAAGGAGTTCGCTGTTGCCTGAGAATATCAACGAGCCTCTGCTTCTGCGGCTGCAGTAAGGATTTATAAGTGTGGTCCACCTTTTAAATTTTCTCAACTACACTTCAATGTTGATTTGAAATCCAAAATTGTACTTTTGCCGCTTATCACGTATTCAACGAAAGCAAATAAAGCAAACAAAAAAACATGTAATTTGAAAATTTAGAACTATTATGCATGGGAATGAACGAAACCAATTAATCGATTAATTAATCAATTAGAGGGTGGCGAATAATTGGGTTACAAATTTTAATCAACGCCCAGCCCTTGTTATAGGGTTGGAGGATGTCAGATATTTACCACAGCGGCGATGACAAAGGAAGGAGAAAAAAAACATTAAAGTAATCGCGAGTCGAAAAGGAGTGGGCCCGTACTCGAAGAGGTCATTATATTGCCCCTTCTAGGTACCGCAGTATGCTGCGCAGTGCTGCACAACACACCCTATTTGAGACGCAGCATGCGTGGTATTGAAAGAAAAAAGAAAAGAAGGCCACCGTGACCACAGTTACATTTACGCGGGTGAAACGGGACCGAGAGATGTACTTCGTTACACATTAGGTCCGAGTGCCACCGCCATTGAGGGCCAAGGGGCAAATGAAGCCACGCAGAATGCAGAGCTTCATGAAGCTCGCCGGCATTTTTCTGCGGGGGTAATCCGTCGGCTAAATCAATCAAGCGCTGAGAGTGCGCCGTTACCTTGAATTTATAGTCTTTCTGTATGCCTTTGTGCGTCTTCTTGGCTTTGACACAGTGCCCGGACTTGGGGTGGAACGAAGTATAGATGTAAATGCTGAAAAAAAAAAAGCTTTGGTCACCATTTTTTTTAATACTAGGGGTATAACTTATATTACTAATACTGAACCAGTAACTGGCTGTTTTTGAACTCATTAAACGTGTGACCGAAACTCACCTCGGTGTCTTGAGAAACCTGTACAATACGACTAGAACTGAAAAAAAAAAAATTTTTATATATATCTTCACGTGTTTTGGTCATCGCATGTACTCAGTGTAGTATACCGTTGTATGGAGCAGCCCTTGAAATGGGTGACCTTAAACGCCATATTTGCGTTACCTCGCAGTTCTAACCGACATGAGCACGGTGTGCGACATTCGGGTGGCGGTGGTTCGCTTCTTGGAGTGCGCCAACTCTTTCTTTCTCGGAGAGCCTCGAGGTGGCGTGGCCCGCGGTCGCACCGACACCGGCACCACTCTCGGAGTGCACTTCGGCGTCATCTTCGACGCGCCGTCGCTTGGATCGGTGAACAAATTCAACAGAATCGCCAACATCGACTGCAGGTAAGCCACGGCCTAGAAGCCGGTACAAAGCAATCATTTATCTGAGAATTTACATAACACCTTTCAAGTGTGCTTAAGGGCACGCGAACACGCAGAAACAAAATGGTATAGTTGTCACAAAAAAGCACAAAAAAAGACCGCATCTCCACGTGATGATTGATGTTGATTGGGGCGAAGCTCTGGTGGTGCTGATGATACTGATTTTATTGATCATAGGTAGTGCTGATAGTGCTGATTTTTTTTATTGCTCATAGGTAGTGCTGAGTTCCGGGTTGCGTTTCGACTTCATTATTACTGCTTTATGGTCGGTGAAATGCAGAGCCAGTGGTTCTTCTAGCGGATTAGCTTGGATCCGCTAGAAGCCGTGGGAACGGATTTCCACCGCTTAAGTCAACGGCCCGTGTCAGAAAGAGAATGTGTGGTATGGAACGTGGTTATATACGCATTTGAGCATTTGACAGCAGCGCCCTCTCGTCTATAAACGTTGAGCCAATGCATGCAAAGTGTAACGCGATTATATACGCATTTGATCGAAGCGCCCTCTACTGTATAGACGTTGAGCGGCTACATGCAACGTTTCATCTATGACAGAAACCCCAGCTCTTGAGTTACTACCACATCTCAGGGCCCCCTGCTCGTCCCGCAGTCGTGGCCGAGTGGTTAAGGCGATTGACTAGAAATCCATTGGGGTTTCCCCGCACAGGTTCGAATCCTGTCGACTGCGCAAAAATTTGTTCGTTTTATGTAAACTCGGACGCCGGACGGACGGACGGACGGACGGGGTCCGAGTTTATCGTGCGAAAGAAAGCCGAGATCGATCGATTCATATCACGAAAACGATTATCTTTTCGAAAATGTTTTAAATCGAAGTGGCCTCTCATAGTAATTGCCGTCAATACTGCAGTTCTAGCGTGGCCCCTAAATCCAATAATTTAAAAGTTAACCAACGAGATTTAGACAGCTAGCCAAATTAGCAGGACGATTATTTCCGCATCTAATGTCCGCCGAGTCTGATCAATACATGATAAATACGGCACTCGTCTAACCCTCACCCCCCCCCCCCCCTTTTTTTTTTTTTTTACTATCTGTGCAGATTAAAACAAAACTCCCTCTATACGACATGAAACAGCACGATCCCCGAATGGTGGTGAAGGCTGCTGGTTGCAAGTCACTACCATATAATGAAGTGGAATTGAGAGAACATTTTTTTTTTTCTATTAAAAGCGCCTTATTGTCTCATAGAGTGTGATTTTCGAAGCATTGCTATACGGACGCCCCATAAACAGGGGAAACGACAGTGGTATATTAGATGCATAAAACGTCACAGAAGAAATTACAGTTTCAAGAAAAATCAAATCAGCTGTGATAGTTTGCAGAGCATCGTGGCAGCAGATGCTCAGGTACTCTGTCACAATATTCACGACAAAGTTTTTACTGTTGACAGGTAACTCAAAATGCAACATGTAATAATTAACATGACAGCAAATTTGTGTCTTACACAATGCGCGGAAGACTGCCTGACAGACGTGCTTTTCCCTCCGTGCGAGAAAGCACAAACAAACCGGAGCGCCCCTAGTGGAAGCCACCGGCGCCACACATGCGCGATGGAGTGTGGGCAAAAAACTCGCCGTCGCCCGTGGACAAACCATTGGATTGCGATGTTGTTTGCGTCAGTGTGAGACCCCGTGCTCTTTTCCGCGCGTTGGAATAGACGATTCTACGTCTTCCTGGCAAAGTCTGACTGCTGTGGCGGCCTCAGCGAAACTAACGAGGCTCGTTACACCGCAAAACGTCGCGTGAATTATCTGACATGCGACGATTCATTCCGCGTGGACGCCGCAGAATAGGCGGTACAGCCTGATTCGCATGATGAGATTCTGCTCGCTATTTTCAGTCGCAACGTCGCTCGGGCTGCAAAAGCGTGGACAGTAGCTGAGATGTCGATGTCGATACTGGAAATCGCAAGCAGAATCGGACCAAGTGAATCAGGCATAACAAGTCGGTGATTGCCACTGGTAACAATTATGAACATGTTTGTATCTACTGTTTACATCGAGCCTATTTATTCCAATCAAGCTTCAAACTTAAAGGTATTTTGAGTCCTGCACTTAGTTCTGATGGCAATGACCGGACGTTTGGTCTACGGGCCGCTGTCGTTTGAACGAGCAGACGACAACAAGCAGAAACGTTTGAGAGCATGCAGACGACAGTTCGAACGATCAGGCGGTCGTTCGAACTGAAGACGCACTGAACGTAGTCCGCAGGTGGTCTGTACAACTTTGCGGTTTTCCGGCGTTTATGTTGGAACAAAACAAATAAACCCGACGACAACAAGTATTCGTGAATTAAACCTAAAGCGCTTCCCGCACAAGCAGTCGTGGTCCGACGCCGTCTGGTTTTCTTTTTTCATGGCCCTATCTACGTTCTCGGACGAACCGAGCAGGCAGAAAACACATGAAAACTGACCTTCAAACCTCTCCCGACTCTTTTAGCACAGTCCTCGTCACGGTGTTTTGACGAGAAGGCAGGCTTTTGTCTAGTTCCTTCAAAAACAACGCAGGAATGCACGTCTCGCATGGTGACTACCGCCCACAGCCCCAGACCTGGGGCTCTAAACTCGTGAAAGACAAAGTTGGGGCCGAAGTTTGCGGAGCGCGCCGATTGGCTTAAACCGACGATGACTTTGCGCTTTTGTCGCCGGCGTCCAATCGGCACACTCCGCGAACTTTCGGCTCCAACTTTGTGTTTGACGAGTTTAGGGCCCCTGAAGTGCGCCCGGCGCGTTACCACCGTGCCGTGACGTAACAGAGCTGAGTTCACGTATAGGGAGGGGCTGGAGGTTCCGACGGCCGCTAACCCCCTGGTCGCGGCGGCCTCCGCAGCCCTGGCCACCGTCCGTTTTTGGGCGGCGGCTTGTGAGCTGCGCATAGTGCCTCCCACTGGTTTATATTAGTGATTTGTGGGTGTGAATGGTAGTTGTGAGCACCCCCCTAGACGGAGTGCGTTAATGTAGTGGGTTGTGTGCAGAATTGACACGTTGATGTGTACCTGCCTGGGTATATTTTAGTGAGTATTACTGGGGATGGGGGGGGGGGGGGGGGGGTAGGTGTTAGTCTGTAGCCGTTGCCACGCGTTTTCCTGTGTTTTGGTCAGCGACTTGTGCGCGGGCAGATAAATGACCTGCGACAGTCGATATGCCGATTTGTTTTCTTGATAAGTTTGTGGGTGATCCCTGGAGTCAGACGCCAACTCCTGCCCATCTATTGCCCCCGCCCGGTAAGCCAGTTCTCGGGCGGAGTTATGGGCGGCAAGGTTGCCTGGGAGTTATGCGTGTGCTATGGCCCAGACTAGTGCGATTTTCAATTGTGGCTTTGGGACCCCTTCCAATATGCGACGAGCGCTCGGGGAGATACGGCCGCAAGCAAAATTGCCCATGGCCGTCTTGCTATCGCTGATAATTGTGCGGGCATTCGCTGCGGGATGACCAAGGCGCTGGCCGCCTCCTCTGCCGCTTCTGAGGTTGAGCCTGGTAAAGGCTCTGTTATACTCCGACGTAACGCGTGCGCGCGTGCGAGCGCGTCACAGCGACGTCACGTCGGCGAAAACCCGACACTCTATACTCTGGCGTCGTGGCGTAACCGACGCGACCGGCGGCGTTCGACGCAGCCTGACTGCTTCGACGCCAAAATGGAGCTTGCGGTATTCCGCGCCGGCCGCGCCGGCGACGTCGGACCAGGATGCATCACGCGCTGGCTCCCGGCAGCCCTCGCGCGGGAAGCGCGGCGAATACGAGCAATAGCAGACGACAGGAGCACCACTCCATGTGGCGTCATCTTTGAAGAATCGGACTCGGTCGTCGAGAAGCTGATCGAGGGAATTCGTCCTCACCCGTGTGTCTACGACACGAAGAAGCTTGAGTACCGTAGACCGGGCGCTTGTCAAATATGTACCGTATGTACATTGACCGCCTACGCTTGCGGCGCATGTGGTGCACCAACAGTGCAAGCGCGAGTTTTCGTCGTGCAAGGTACGTCCACGCCATCGCTCGTACTTGGCGCTCAAGAAGCGCCAGAATTTTCGTCTGCTAGTCGGAACGAAAAGGAACCGGAAGTGGCGCACTCTCACAGGAAACGTGCCCTCGTAGTCAGATTCTGCGCATGCGCCACGCCGGCGGCCCACCGACGCACAGCCGCGGGAGTCGCCAGGGCCGCCGGAGTATAATGAGGGCGAATTTTTGACTCGCGCGGCGTGACTGACGTGACGCAGCCGACTTCGGCCGGCGTTCGCCTGCGCGCGCGTTACGTCGGAGTATAACAGAGCCTTAAGGAGGATCGCTTGTGACGACGGCAGTCACGTCTGCCCTGTGGGCGTGCTTTGCTGCATCCGTGTAGACCGCTTGCGGATATGAGTGGTAGCGTTGCTGCTTTCACCTTGCTTCCCTCCCTTCTTGATGGTATTCGGGTTGCATGTGCCTAGTTATCGGAGGGATGAGCAACTTCACCCGCATAACTATGGGGATTGTTACTTTGGGGTCTGACGATGGGCCTATTTGAAGACGCAAGATCTTGAGAAGTGTACTTCCAGCTTACGTGGCTGAGAGCCGGAGGGTTTGTGAGAATAGGTGGCCTTCCACTAGCTCACCGTTGAAGTTGTGAAACCCTAATGCTAATAGCCGAGTTGTGGGTGTGTTTGGGGGTAGCCTGAAGAGCATTTTTGACTGCCCCTCTGATGAGACGGTCTAGCTTGTTCTTATCCGCAGCGTATAGTTTGATATACGGTGCGGCATACACCATAAAAAAAGGGTATATTCTTACACGCCTTGTCACATATACGACACCCCACAACTTAAGGTGAATGTACAGTGCACTGACGTTGAACCGACGCTACCAAATTTCACCAGAGGCTTAATAGCCGAGTTGTACATCTTATTAAAATAGCTAATGTAAGTGAGACTGACTGTAAAAACGTTATCGGGGTTTTCTTGGGTCAACTGCAGAACC